GTGCCAAATTACAGAACAATGCATGTATTACAAAAGTCAATAAGACGGGGGGCATAATAATTATGTTGATGGCTTTAATTTCAGTGCATAAACAATCAAACAAAATTCCTCGATACGCGCTGATATAGGATCATAGTTCTTGCTCAGCACTAGTAGAAAACGTATTTAGTAGGTGGAGAGATACCTAGATGACCATTACGTGAAATATAAACTGTCCGAAAGCGAAAGACGAAAATCAACTAAGCAACTTATATTAGGCGATACAGACAACTGGATGCTTGCAAGATCGGACAGAATATTCCCGATGAATTTTACTGCAGTATGTTAACAGGAAGCTCAGTTCGTCAAACATATTACGACATCTGCCATGTCTAAGGCAGGTATTATGCCGGAGCTGAAATCGCGTCCAAACTCTGTTTGCGTTTTACCTTTATACCGTGTCAAGACAGATATAAATGCTCTTCCTACACGAGTTTCTAGAGCACTTCAGCACACACAAGATCACAAAGGATACATCTTTACAAGAACAACACAAACAAAGTTATCTGCCACTTATCTGAGGACGACGCAAACGCCGTTTAAAACTTCATTATCAGAGAGGAACTATCGCGTTGCTAGTGCATCAGTGTTGACCCCAAGAGGGGTTTCGACGGGAACTCATTCTCTCGGAATGTCGACCAAAGATGGCACAACAAGTATGTCTACATTGCACAGTCAAACCACAGACAGCGGAAGTATTTCACTTGTTCCTGGCGTTTTTCAACGAAAGAAACCAAAACCGAGAATTTTTGTCCGTTATCGTCAATTATCTTCTGAAGAACGAGTGTTACACTGGCTTTACACGTCATGTACTCATCCTTTAAGGACGTTACCCTTGCTGTGAAATGCCTTAGCCGATGTGGTAACATCCCTTTTTCTAATTTCACGCTGCCCCCGGGGGGGGTACTTTAGGAATTTCTGGGTGGGGATGTGCCGCTAGGAGCCTGGAACCCATAACCTTTACCAGAGCTAGTTCAGCTGAATTTTGCTACCCTATACTAGAGTAAAATCCCCAAATCCCCCTATCCTAGAGTAGCTGTGTACCTAGTCTAGATAAAATCTTCAACCAACTGATCAGTTTCCTGAAAAATGATACCCTATTCTAGAGCCAAACGCTCTGATTTATATACCCTATCCCAGAGTAAACTGCTTGAAAACCATACCCTTCACAGCGGCACATACCTATATAACCCATATATGGCAGTACCCCCCCCCCCCCCGGGGATTCGCCCCTTTAATGACTAAAGTATAAAGATAGTAAACAGTACAAGGGCCGTTCTTTGACTGCAATGATCAGAAAACAACAATGGGCACAGGGACAGCACCCGTCACAGGGAGGGACAACTTTCGTCACAGAGACAACTTCATCCCAACTTCTACAAAACGCGTCACAAAAAGGCTACACTCGTCTCAGGGGCAACACGCGTGACAGCTGCAGGTCACGCATCTCTCTTATTCACAAAGTGAATCGGAATAAATTTGACTTCAAAACGAATTTGAGGACTCGTGGAGTTGAAAAAATATATTCAATTCCGGTTTTTTTTACGTAGGCGTCACTTACCGTAGACTAGCCTGCGAGCAAGCTCTCCTATTTGGGCGAGTGAAACGACGAGTCTCGCGAGAACGCGCGAGCGCGCGGCGAAGCCGCGAGGCGCGGAGGAAAGGAAAGCGGCCATTTTTTGGTATGTCACGCAACGTTCATGCCAAAAAACGGCCGCTGCGAGGGAGATTACACTTACAACCACACTGAAAAACTAATCGTTGTCGTTGTAGCCCTCCTTTCTGCAACAAAAAGACTTTGAAATGGAAAGCTTCAGATAGAGTATTTCTGATGTTTGGAGCTATAGTGTATGGAAAAACGGTGAGGCCAAGTTTCACTTCCTTTATGCGGAGGGGTGCGGGCGTCTAGGGGGAGGGGGGGTACTTAGGTAGGTTTCTAGTAGGCATGTGATGCCCAGGTTTTCAAATTAGCACACCGTGTTAGGAACAAATTTTTTTCAAAATGCTTCCCCCTCGTGGAAATAGGTGAATTTCCAAAAGCCTCTCCTACATAACAAAATGAGAACATCTCTATGGACAATAATTTTAAGCTCTTGTGGGCTCCTGATTCTACCCAGTTCTAGAATGACTTGATTAAATTAGATACCCTGTACTAGATCTGAGTCCAAAAAGCATAATCCGTTTGAGGGCACAAAAAAAGTGGGGGGAGTCATTATCATATGGGGATTTTGGGAGAATACCCCCAGTGGGGTACTGCAGCACAAAAGAAAAAATGAGAGAAACAGTCTGCATACACAAGTTGGTTCATTCAATATTTATATAGAAGATACAATTTTTATTATTGATTAACATCATGCTGAAAACCATTTTTCGTAAATGAGTTTTACCTTCTACCTGCTTCCTAAGCACCACAGTAACATAACAATACATCTTTCCGGAACTCATTTACGAAAGAATATAATTAAAAAAATATAGAAAATAAATGAAACAATAGTGACTTTATAGTGATATGGAATTGGTAATAGTATTAGTCACACTTCTAGTCATTTGAAAGGAAAATAACAGATGGAGTTCTAAATAATTAGACACTCCTAAATTTATCCAAAATTAAATATTACTCAATCCGCTTTTTAAAATATTAAATGCAAAAAATGCCACTGTGTTTCATCCTTTGAATTATTTAACCATCTAACTACAGATAGTCTTCATTTTTACAACATGAAACTCAGTTAAGTCTTTCTCAGTTTTCTTTCATCTACATAACTGACATAATTTCGAAATATCATTCTCTACCTCAATTGCAAAAAATTTAGTCTTCTTCCTCTGCATAATTCGTGTTCTTTTTGCGAAGATCTGCCCCCTCTATGCCTTCCATAAATATGACAAAATGTTTCATTGGGAGTATGGGTGAGAAAACAAAGTGTTCAATGAAAGTAACATCCCAATTTTGCTGCAGATTGTTGCAAAGTCTCCTTTTAACACAATTTTCAGTACTTAACATATCGCAATCACTCAAAAGTTAGGTTCTGGAACCCACAGCCACCAACTTGGATTGAAGATTAAGGTGATTATTCTAAATAATCCAAATGCTGAGGCCAGTGTAACAATTGCAATATTAACGGCATGCCACTCTGACATGCTGTGCACAAATGCTGATTGGATTGCAATTAGTAGAATATCGCCAGTCAACATTCCCCAGTAGATAATTTTCCGGCTTGTGGTGTCTCCCCAACCAATGCCAGCAATGAGAAGAGTAATCTGAAACAGTACAATAGTTAAAAATTGTGAAAAAAAAAAACAACTACTAACTGTATTCCTTTGCAGTGATATTCATTAAGAATTATAAGACAGTGATAAACAATTACTCATGTTAACTGTAGAAGATCAAGGGCAGGGCATCTCCTTATTTCCTTAGTTTTATCTTCATTAATTAGGGTATGTGTTGAGTAACAGGCTGTTGTTGCAATGTCAAATCATCCTTTTGTTTCACAACAAAATTACTACACAATTTTGAAGGAGAATCAAGCAGTTTCTCAAAATCTGGTTTAACTGCAGAGAATACCTGGCAAAAACAGCAGCTACGCGGCTATGCTCGATAAGCCATTACGCTATGTACCTTCATAGCCATGTGGCCACATAGCCACTTCTTTAATGCCTCAATCTTTAAGCCCACTACGTTTTTTGGGTCCAGCTTTTGAGTGGGCAGGTATTCTGCAGTTACTCCTTACGGCATTTTTCCAAGCATCTCCTTGATAATAATTTTTTTACGATAAAGGAGTTTAAGAATCACAATACATCCAACAAAAAGAAAAGCCACAGGGCACAAGGGGTCAACCACCTCCAGGGGCAGATCTAGGGGGAGGCTGCAGGGGGTGCACATCCCCCCCCCCCCGAGATGACCTGCGGTCTAATACAACTGGTGTTCTGCAAAAAAAACTATGTGGTTTATTGGTGTTGAAGTAGAGCAGGAGATGAAAGCACCCCCTCCTAAAAAAAAACCTTGAATCCGCCCCTGACCTCCCAGCTAGGTCATCTATCAACACTTCAGTTAAAAAAAACATGTTTTTCACTTAATGTAAGTGATCACATGAGTAGATAACTTCACTTGCAATTTACTATAGTTACTCCAATGATTAAGTCACGAGTGAATCGTGAGGAAGAGTAGCAATACAGAAATAGCTTTTGACAAGTTATTTCTAGAGTATCAACTTGCAACAACAAAGCAAAACAAAGATAAACTTGGGACAAGCAACCTTCCAAACTATTTATCCCACAATCCTGATAAAAAAATTGTTAAAAATGAAAACGTATTAGCATGTTCACTGAAATAAAGGATGCGAAACCAGCGATTTAAGTGACTTTTAGTTTCAAAAAGGACGATCTAAAGCTTTTGCAATAACCATTATTAAATATTAATAATTTGCAATTAGGCACTTGTTAATTGCATATACATCAGTACGAGTTACAAATATAAGAAGTAAATGATAAAGTGAACAACTCATCATTCGTTACTCTAAAAAACACGTAAGTCTGTTAAATTTCAGAAAGATTGAGCTGTTTACTTCGCTAACCTGAACGCAAACCATGCTTGCATACATCCGCAAGATCCATTCCGAAAACTCGTTAATTTCAGACTGTTCTCCTGTGGCAGCGGGAAGAATTCGAGTTAAATATTCTTTCGGCAAGAAGAAGGAAAGGACAACCGTTAAAATCGTAAGCACGATCTCCAAAATGCTAACAGCAGTCCATGATAAGCGTCTACAGCAGGGACTGAGGCGACATCTACGACTTTCAGGTCGCGTGGAAGGTGACGTAGGCCATGCATCGTACGAGGACGTGGGATCTACGGCGTCAACAGCTCTCGGACTACCGTATCTGGGATCCATAATGAAGTGCCTTTGCTGCTTCTTTCTCAGCTAAATTCAGGGCTCAGATCTTTTGCGAGTGCAAAATGTAAGTAACACAAACAGGACGTTAATGCAACTTCTCAGCTGAAATTCCTTTTTAATACCACTACTCCCGCCCACTGCGCGGGGAAATTTATATCACGTGACCATATAAAGGACTGATTGCGAACTAATTTCTCCTATTTTGAGCTGAGACATAATAAGAATTGATCTTTTGATCGACAGACGAAAAACCAATATGGCGGCCTTGTGTAGCCCGTTTTTTCCATTCCGATTTTGCCCTTTGTTCAGGGACAGTTTCGTCCTAATCAAAGTTTGATCTGCTTATATGCAAGTTTTATACGCAAAGAATGTCTTAGAAGTGGAAGCATTATATTGTGGAAGCGCGGAAAGTTTGGTAAAATGTGCAGCGCTTGACACAAAGTGTCAGAAAGTGTGCAAAGATATCTCTTCATGATCTAGAATCGGAGAGGAAGTAAAGATGTCGGGCCATTATGTACAGCTCTGCCCTAATCCACTACGATTTGAGCCTGTCACCAAGGAAAACAGCGTATTTTTTGACGAGGCGAATAGGCAGGTATGAAGATGAGCTCACATGCCCACATACACATTTCACAGTTGAAACCTACAAGAAGACTTGTGGGAGAGATTTCCGTACAACCTCATACATTTATCATGCATATATCTTTCGACTCTATTTGTATCAGCTATTTGTGTGAAATAGTATGAAATTGCTGGATGCATATATATATAATAAATGTATGAGACTGCATGGTTCTCGATTTGTGATCAAAATTACCGTTTCAGGTCTTTTCTGTGACTTCAGTTGAGGGAAAAACTCGTGTAGTTGTGAGAGGTCCTGATGTCAAATCTCTCGTCATTTTCAAGTATGTTGCAGATGCTACTAATATGGTATTTATAAAGCATGATTCATTTAATTTCCATTTGTGACCATCCCGCCATAAAGGAAATCAACTACTGCACAGTAATCCATCACATGCCCTCACTCCCGATCAAAAATCCTTTAAATAGAATGTATGTGTACAAATATGCTATTTCTACTGGATTACTGAAAAAATTTAGTAGTTGGTACATGCTATGCAGTTTAATACGATGAAACCTGGTTATAGTTATACCCGGGGCACTTGGATATTTTTTGGGTGGGTATCTGCCGCCCGGGACTTCAAATTGGCACCCTGTTCTAAAAAAAATTTCCCCTTAAATTGATACCCCGTTCTAGAAATGGGCCAATTTTTTATACCCCGTTCTAGAATTCGCCCTAAAACTGATACCCCGTTCTAGAAATGGGCTATTTTTTATACTCCGTTCTAGAAAGTTTGTAAATTGAAATAGCCCTGTTTTTTAAAAAAGATATTTCTTTATTTGTTCGACTCATACATCAAATAAATGCGTCTTCATAATCAGCAACAATTTTGAGCAGAAGATAAAGCCGTGATCTCCAATTTTTTACACCCCGTTTTAGAAAACACCTCTGAAATGGATACCCCTTTCTAAACGAGGAGCTTCAAAATCACGACCCCGTTGGGCGGCACATACCCATATAGGTAATGTATGGAAGTACCCCCCCCCCGGGAGTTATACAAACAAACACTAAGAGGACATGCCATCATATCTGTGCTATTTCTCGGAAAAAATGGTTACAAACACATGTTTTATTGACATTAAGACTAAAGCAGGCAAAGAGAAAGAAGGGTATAGGAGCAGTGACTGCAGCAAAAAGCCAAGGAAATGAAATCTTGCGTTGTAGGCAACAGGAAACTTTAGTAAAGGGCTGCAGCACAATGGCAGTTACTGACAAGGGCCAAATACGGGAAGAACGATGTTCTTATCAAAATCAAATCTGTCATGCTATTTTGCTTCTGTTTTTAAGCAATAAAGTCATATTAATCCATGGAAATCCCTTATCATGTGAGAAGGGTACAATGTCTTCAATCAGTACATGATTATGACAAGGAAATTTAAACCACTGTAGACAGTGCACAGGCAACCAGTGTCTATGATATAAGGGTGTTTGTGACTTGGGACAAGAGAAAAGTGTGTGTTACCTGTATTAACCGGTGTCCAAATTAAGGGAGTTAATTTTAGAGAAAATGTCTAAGATTTTCATTGAGACAAATGAAACAATCCGCTATGCAGGTGTTGGTATAGAAAGGGTGTTCAGTACGTTAATATTTGTAAGATTATACTAGAAAATTAAAGGAGATGTCTTAGAAGCTGGCTACAACAAATGCAATGAATATTTTAAGAGAGATGGCATGTTGGGTTATGGGCTATGTGCTACGCATTGAAAAACTCATGAATAATTTACTACTCACTAGTAGTATCGCTAAAAAACGAATCACCAGTCGTGTTTTGTTGTGCGTCTTACATGACTCTTATTGTATGCTATGAGAATCACTTAGCAGGAGAATCAACAAAAGGGGAACTTATGGTATAAATATTATTACCATTGATTTTGTGAAAGCCAGTGTGTACAATAGAGAAATTCTTGACATGAAGAAGGTGTTTCAATTATCAGCTTTCAAATTTCAATGACACAGGATTTCAGTAGAATTCATATTACTGTATGTGCTAGCTAAACAGTACATGGTGTGCATTGCTTTGTTCTGTGCAACCAGAATGTGTTATGAACAAAGAATGCATGGCTGCAATTGGTTTCTGTGCACCATGTAGCCGGTTACACAGACATCGGTCAATGTGACAGTATTTTCTGTAGTTGAGCTAAGGAGAAAAAGTCACAAGCAAACTTTCCCTAACCCCCTGACCCATACCCTTCTAAACAGAAAAACACGTAATACATTTGTTTTTTCAGTATACCATCTGTAGGCCATGTCCAGTCCATCAAATTTTCTTATGATCGCAAGATACTGGCAATTCAGAGATCACTGAAAGTCGTGGTAAGCTAAGGAGAGGTCTAAATTTGTTTTTCCACTAAATATCCATTCTCTCCTATGGAGCCTGTGGCAACATTTTGATGTTTTTCTATTGTCTTTAAGAGCATAGACCACAGAAAGCAATAAATGCAATTGGTTTCCCGAATACTTATCCACTGTATAGCGATTTATCTGGTGGATAGCTCCATTAAGTGGATAAGTGTAAGGGAAACCAGTTACATTATCCACTGGATAGTGGTTTATCTAATGGACAGCATGCACTATCCATCTTTTGAACAACTAGGGCCTGAAGGACAGAATCACAGTGAACAACTTTTTTTACAAGTTCTTTTTTGTGCATGCAGGAGTTTATTAACTTTGCTGAAGGGAATGATAGTCATCAGTACAGCCAGACATGTAAGGTGAGGATTTGCATAAAACTTTTAATAGCATTGCTGCCATGCACACATTCAGTTCCTGTTGTGACATACACAAAAATTTCTTACTTTTGTAAGGAGTTAACAATGCCTTTACAATAAGTAATGCTAAAGTTCTCACATACTTCATGGTCAAGAGTTACAGTGACATAATAAGCAATAAAGTGAACTTAATTTTCCAATTTCTGCACTCTTATAGATCAAGGAAAACTCTGCATGGTTTACTAGTGTTCCACTTGAGTTACATGTTGACATTATGTCTGTGTTTCATGTTAAAAATGTTTAACCTACTGAGTAGGTTGATTCTCAATTCATTTTGTCTCCTAGCCCTAATTCACAAAGAATAAGGGCTAGGAGACAAAGGAAATTGAGAATCAACCTAATCAGTAGGTTAAACAATTTTAACCTGAATTTAATTGTGACCTGTAGCATCAGATTCTGTAATCTATAAGAGCATTGATAATGGAAATTTGGTGTATTTTGTCTATTATATTGATCACACAAATGCACCAAGTAAAGATACTATTGGAGGACTCACCTTCATCCCAAAAACTGTGTGACTATTATTTGTTGTTGTTTTGAAAAGCTTGAGTTTTTTTAACGCTGTAATCTGTGTTGACTTGTTCCTGTGCGATACCTGAGGGTGAAAGACATGACAACTAATGATTTTTATAGTGTATGGAATGCTAAAAATGTACTACCATGTCAGTTCCCTTGACAGCAATTGGCTAAAAAAAATACTTGATCTTTACCTGTAAGCTAAGTCTTACAGAATGATGTTCTTTTGTTTAACAGAGCAAGTCTGCTCATGTTATTGGCTTTCACTGGACTAACCTGAATGAAATTGTTTTTATTACAAACCAAGGACTGGAATTTTACCAGGTACTTATGCTTGAAGTCACTAAATAACTGCATCTCACAGTCTTGAAGAATACATACTGTATGTACCATTAACAATAATATTTATCTCAACTGGAGTTTAAATTGTACTACTGAAATACATGCACCATGTAGAAAATTGTGCGGGACACCTCCATTATTACTACATCTCCAATGATTCTGACATTGTACAAAAGGTTCCTAGTGAAATGTTATTTAATAAGAAAGTGGTCTAGAACAAATAGAATAATTTATGTACCATTATAGTATAAATATAGATAACTATAAAAAATAGAAAATGTTGTTTTTTTCTCCAAACTATTGATTCCCATTGAGTTCCACTAACTTTTTTATGTGAAGGATGTTTACAGGCATCATTAACCCTTTCCTTTTAAGGTTTTTCCTGAAAAGCACAGCCTTAAAATGATCAAGAACTACAGTGTACAAGTTAATTGGTTTGTCTTCTTGGTAAGAGAACGTTGTATAAAAATATGACTTAACCATTCTCATGGGTATCAGATTATAGATGTTTGAAAACTGATAAGTACAGTCAACTCTGTGTTAATGGACACCTCTAAAAGATGGCCACTTCCCCAATTTGCAATCCCTGAATGGATCCCTGTCATTCGTCTTTAAGGCAGACACTGTTCTAAAGACATGTGGTTCTTCTGTGATCCTTACAGAAAGTGGACCACGAAAAGACAAAACTTCATACTTGCACTAGAATGATTTGACATTGTGTAGTTCCATAAAATATCCATACTCTCCCCACAGAAGGGACTGGAAATTCCCGGGGGGTGGGGGGTTCTCAAAGGCCCCAAAATTTAAGTAAATGTCTGAAGCTTGACTGGAATTTCCAGAGAGGTGGAGGGGTCTAAGGAAAAATTCCTTCAGTGGGGGAGGTATGGATGATTTTTGGAACCACACAATGATATTGTCGCAGGGTCGATTGTTCAGTTAATGATCATTGGTCAATGAATCAGTTGTAGGAGGTGTTCCTTCCCTTAAATTCAGGAGTGGCTATGTCTGTTAAAGTTTCATCTGGTGAAACTTGTATCAAGTGGGCACTCAAGGGACCATTGCAGATCTCGTGCCCACTCAGAAGCGGTGTTTTTGTGCAAATTAATGGACAGATTTGGCTGAGAGAAAAGATGGGGAAAAAGTTTGGTACTCTTTTTGTTTTGAGATACAGCTGTACATGTACATGTTGGTAAAGTTAACTGTGTGGCAGCTGTCACTGTCATACAGCTGTGGCATGCAATCAAAATTTGTACACTCTACATGGATGTTGTTTAAAGAACTTAACGTTAAGTCCTCTGTAATACTTGTGGTACTTTTCAGTGTAGTTTAACAGACGGTTCATTTTCTTTTCCTTTGTTTAAAGCCAGAGAGTGCTGTGCTGCTATTGTCATCATCTGGGCTTGGAAATGTCATACATCCTTATCACTTCAGGGTTAGTTTAAAAGAGACCTGATCCCAGTCCCTTGAAAGATGGTTAAATTTATCCTGAGATTAAGCCAAATTTAACAAGGTTTCCTTGTCTAAGAACATGCAACTGGAGCTTACAAAACACTGTTGAGCCTTTACTATGAGATACAGTAATGATGATGTTCCTCTCAGCAACCCATGGGAAGGTAAAATACAAAACCCACCAAAATTTTAATCTTGTACTATTAGAGGTAAATCGGCGTTTCAGGAACCGGGCCCTGAAGATTAAGGGTTGAGCATCAATCATCACTGCCAGTTTTCAGACCTACCATGATGCCTTTCATTCTCCCCTTGAAAGGAGTCTTAAACTGGCAAGTGATAATATTGATTCATCCATAACACCAAAAAATGACAGCAGCACAATACATGTAAGCTTCATTACTTTAGGAAATTGAGCATTTGAACAATAAAAGGTGCCATAACAAAGAGCGTTCACCAAAACTACTTCATGAGCTTGTAATCTGTCAAAGAATGTTATTTGACAGACACTAATCTTTTCTTTAGGAATAGGTGACATTGTGACAAGCTTCCTTGGTTGGGTTTTAAACCTGTTGTGTTTAATCTGAATTACCAGTATTTCTCTTATTATCCCTGAAAAGCCCCTATATAATTTGGATAACATTAGTTTTTTTAAAATTTTTATTGTTATGTTTGATTCAGGCAGGATCAGTGATGCGGCTCCCAAAATTTGAGGTTGATATCCCTGCAGCTTCCAAAGCTCAGAAAACTGGTTTGTTGGAGAGGGATGTAACCCTGGCAAATATGTGAGTAGCTTCACACCTGCAGCCTCCATGATTTTGTTGTTCAATAGCTAAGTTAAGTGTTCGCTTCATGATTCTGAGAATTTTGAATGTGTTGTCTGCTGTAATGGCCATGTGACTCTTAGAACAGCTGGGGTACGTGGTGTCCCTACACCACTGGTTTTTGTAAGACATGTATGGTTTCATAAGTCATCTGGGCTTAGTTGTTTGAAAACTGGATAACGATATCTACCGGATAAATTTCTATCCAGTGGATAACACAATTATTTTCCCCAACACATATCTGCTGAATAGTGAATTATTCAGTGGATATAGCGCTATCCAACATTTGAACCGGGGCCTGTTGGGTAAGAAAACAGTTATGAGAAGTGTGCATTTTCCTGAAGGGCGGAGGAAATTATATGGGCAACATTTTTAATGCAATTTATTATATTATTTGTCACACAGCAATGTTGAATTATTAATTTTACAGCATTAGAATGTCTGCTCAGTCACAGATCTAGGATAAATACTGACTGATTCTCTAAAAGAGTGTCAAAAAAGCAAGCTTCTAGGGGGATCTGGGGCATACTCCCCCAGAAATTTCAACTCCCAAAAGTCTTCTGAGTCATTCAGACAGGTTGTTTACTGTCTGCCCCATTTGACAGATTTCAATTTGGAAAATTTTTTGGTTGAATTATTTTATTAAAACTATATAATTTTATTATCATTGAAAGATCTGACCAATTTCTGCGCCTGCAGCTGTTGAGCATAATTATTATAATGTTATTGTTACGAATTTTTCTGTGCAGAGATGGCCAGCTTTATGTAGTAATCCTAAGGAACCAACAAAGAAGTGCAAGCCCTGGACCTGTTGGAGCTGAGATAGTCCTCTATCAATTACAGCGGTTTGTAGACCTTTATCTAAATGCTTTAATTGATTTTGATCTACCCATTACAATAGGCTCTTTGCACTAGTTGATCACATGATCAACTCTCGGTAAACACGAAAACAGTTAGCGCAAGCTGAAAGAGCATATATTAAAATTAGATTATACAAATTACTTATTGCAAATTATACAAAGCCTTGTAAATTTTGAAATTTTCAAAACTGTCATGAAATATTTCCCTAAGCATTATGGGGCTCAATTCTTCTTTTAATTTATAACAGGCAATTTGACCTCTTAAATGTGTATGGAAAAGATTCAATAACAGTTAATAAATTTTAGAATTTACAAGCATTTGTAGGGAAAACAACTCAAATGTGACAGGGTGGCAAGGGTTTTTCTTATACAAATCCTTCTAATTTTTGGCAGCCGTTGCAATCTCTACTTTTGAGGTATATGGCTGAAAATTTACAGGTTACCTAATTTTAATATGCTCTTTCAGCTTGGAGCAATTCTTTCATAATATTCTCCTGTAACGTTACACCTTTCTCCTACTACTAGAATTCTTAAAACCCTGTTGAAGCAATTCTCTCATTTCATTTTGTAGAGACATTCCAGCAAAGAAAGTTGCAGTCCTTCAGCTGAATATGATTGGCAGATTTGCTGTTAATGTTGTGGTAAGAAAGGCTTATTAATAAGTTGCAATGGGCACTAGTTTACATGCTTAATCTCCAAGGTCAAAGTGTTGATAATTAAAGGGTCCTCTGCTCTTTGAAACTGAATTATCATCATTTTTCTTGATTTGTGTTTAACTGTTAAATGTCCTGTTAATATATTAATATTGTTTTAATAATTTTTTTTGCTTTTTGTTTTTCAAAAGGATAACCTTGTTATTGTGCACCATCAAGCTTCAAAGGTAACATCATATTAATTATTATTTATGGTTCTGCAGTGTTAAACAGGGCTTTTTTAAGAAGGCACTGAATGGTAAAAGTAACTAAAATGGGAAAATCCCCCACCCCACCTCTTGGAAATATCCTTAACCCATTAATTTTGCTCCTAGTAATTTTTCCAGAAAACGCATTTTGAAGTTAGTTGAGCCATTTTCTGGTCACTGTTTGACTATAAAGAGCTGAAACTGTTTACTTCTAACCCAGATGCAAAATATTAGCTTCTGAAGGTCAGGCATGTGTAGAAAGCAAAATTTTCAGACACAGCTGTCTTGACTTTTTCTTTTGGCTTTCTCCCCCCTCTTCTCTTCTTTCACTGTTCTTGCCTCATTTTTTTCTTTTGCTGGGGATTTAATAGGCTTTGTTTTTGAGGGAAAGGTTTTTGGGAACGCTTTTAGGATCTAAGGATTAGATGAAATAAAAGGTGGTTGGATAGTGGGACACGATTTTCATGGAAATTTTTTAGGTCTTTATGTTACAACCTCCTTGACTGAATCTTGCTCATTCTGGTATGGTTTGAAAGGTCTTTTCACCCTGCACAAGTTAGCTTGACCATTAAAACTGATGATGTCGCAAGTAGGAGGAGTGGCTCTGCACAGCTGTTATGGGTGGTTTAAGGGTGAATGGGTCAATAACATTTGAGTAGGTTTCATGTTAAAGTTTTAGTCAAAGGTGCTTTCCTTTTATCATTTTAACAGACATCCATGCTATTTGATATAAGAATTGGAGGAGAGTTCGATGGACAGGTCACCTACTTTCAGCCAGTGTTAGCTCCACTGCCACTTGAACAAGCTGTTTTAGACATGGGTATGTAGTCGCAGTCAACAATTACTAGTACCATACAATCAACTTATTGACAGACTCAAGCAAACCTGGCAAGGACAGAATGACTGGATAATCTACAGTTTGACTAAAAATAAACCACTGTTCAGCTGTGAGCAGAAGATGGATAACATTGCGGCTTAACTGACAGATGACCAGTAATAACTATCAACTCATGTGATACAACTCATTCTGACTCTGAAGATGACCACTGCAGAGGTTGTCAAAACATCAATCACTGTCAACAATCACCAAGACAAAAATCACCCAGATGATCATGCTCCACCTACTTATGTTATGTGTTTTGCTATCTAGTGACTAGTTTCCCTTTCATGATGGATTCCTTGCTTTCCTAGAAGTTCCCAAAAATTCCCAACTCACCTTTCATCCCTTTGTTAAAGTATGTGGTTGAAATAATAATATAGATGCATCAAAATGTATTTAAAAATATAAATTGCCAAAAAAATTTTGTAGAGAGGCTCAAAACAGCAATGCATACACAGCCTTGATAAATGTAAAGTCACTTCCCTAAAGGTAGTCTTTGTACACTAAGCTGAAGTACAGTCCAAGGGAAAGAGGGAAAGGAAGTACAGTCGACTCCGATAACTTGAACCTTCTAGGGAGGGAAATCAAAAAAAGTTGAAGGTAAAATTACAATAAATGTATGAAGAAAATCCAAGACAAATCGACTTTGCTTCAAGTGAATGCGAGTTTCAAGTTAGCAAGGGTACGAGTTATCAGGAGTTAACTGTAGCAAAAAATCCATATTTGACCATCACATTTTTCATCTCTGTTCCTGAGTGCAGAATTAATGATACATATAATATATATATATTTCTCTTAACAAGCCTTAATTGACTCTCTTCCTAAGAATAATTCAGTAATTTTGTTTCTTTGTTTTTGTTGTTTTTTTTTCAGAAGAGAAAGATTCCACAACTGGGGCTGTAAAAAAGAAGAGGACAGTCTGTGACATGTGTATCCTATTGTAAATTCAAACTTGATTACCATGCAGCAGTTGTACGATTAGTATTTTTTATGCTGTATAACTTTCATTAGACATCTCTACATTTCCTGTAAGTATGAACTCAAGAAGGGTGGTTATCTTGGGAAGAAAGAGTTTATTTAGATGACTCTTATCATGGCCCCTGCCCACTCTGGTCTTTGCATAAAAAGGAAATTTTCATTTCTTGCACAAAACTGTAATGCCAGGCACCCTGCATTTCTTAAGTTTAGTGTGTAAACTGGGCCTCCTACAATTTAGCCTGACTTGTCTTCCATCAATCCATCAATCTATAGATACAGCATCATTTTTTTCTTCATCTGTATGCAGTGGCAGAATAATCTTAATAATCCACTGTACCAGTTTTGTTTTCAAGTAGAAAATTTTGCTATAAAGAGGCCCTAGCAATCTCAGACAATGCTTGGTACATGTAGTTTGCAAGATTGCAATGTTTGGTAGTTTTAAGATTGGAGTACCAGTTTCCTGTAGTTGACCATAAACGACTTTACATTTAATTTTTTTGAAGTAATTTATTAGTTCAGCAACTGGATGGCCACTTAAAAGCTAGTATAGTATCTTGATGTTGCTCCTCTTGGGCTGTTTTGCTTAACATCTTGTCCTTGCCAGACTCTCAAAACTGGATTGTCTTTCAGCCGAACATCATAATAGATGCTAAACTAGGTGAGTTAAAGTGTTGATTATGTTAATTTGATTATGAATTATTATTGATTTTTACAAAGTATTATTCATTACCTAATATTCTCTTGATGTGGTCTTTTTATTGTGTATTTGTTAGGCTGTTTATGGACAGTTCTAATAAAGTTGGAGCCATTAGCAGTAATGATTGGTGATAAGGTAATGAACTATTCATAAACTTATAACTTTAATTAAGTTAGTAATAAATTCTCAATTTATTATTATCAAAGTTTTGTATCGCTTATGACAGAACATCTTAAAATACTAGAAAATACGTTGGTTACTCATAATTTTTTTCCATAACTTTTTTATTTTATTTTAGGGTTTGTTGGTAGATTTCCTTCTTCTCAGGAAGGAGAGCAAAATGGTTATTCTGACAGTTTTCAAACAGGGTAAGTGCTGTAGTTAATGTCTAACTCACTGTAAGATAGACACTGTTGCGGCAAGCACTAGCAAGGTGCCTGCCAAAGAGATTTCAAACAAAATATTTTTTGCTGAAGAATAGATGCAGGCTTACTCTAGATGTCAGTTACCAGACAGTGTTGACTGTACAGCTCTGCACCCAAGTGTTTGCCATGAAATGAGAAAAAGTTTTAATTGCTCAGTTATATCTCCTTTTGTTTTATACAGTAGCTGACAATTTTTTCCCCAACAATGTGCCCTCCCACTGGTTTATACTTTGAGGTCATACGAATCTAACAATAATGCTTAATTTCCACCAAATCTCTGAATAGGCAACATATTGTACAATCTACGTCTGCTCATCAAAAGATATAAGTGCACTGTTACTTGTGAATGTTGGCTGCTGCTTAGCTTGCTGAGGAGTATTTTCATAAATTATTATTTTACACACAATCTCAAGTTTTTGTGGGGGGATTACAAACAGATCACTTAATTACCCGCGCCTCAGGAAACTTGTAAATATCTTAATGGTTCCATCACAGTATTAGGAAACGAACTCAACCCTTTAATTCCCAACATCCAAATACGTATCCTCCAGACTGATCTCCTTAATTTCCTAAACGAATTTGTTTAAAGGTCAAACTATTTCCCCCTGGGTGATCATTTTATTAATTCTCACTACCTTTTCTCTTGACTATGTATTGATATTGTTGAGAGAATATTAATATTGGTTCATCTTGGAACTTAAGGCCATCTTAAGCTGTTAACTGCATTTTCCCTTGGGCCAGTTTGATCATACATGTTCCTTATGGAGTGCACCTTTTTTTTTTCATTGTGAAAAGACATCCCAGATGTATGTTGTGGTTCAATTTTATCCTTGGTTTAAATTTCATTTTCCTTTGTTTTGGGGTATGACAATGTATGGTAATGAGCTTGAAACAAAGGAAATTAAAATTTAAGCCAAGAATAAAATATTATTGAACCACAACACATACATGTTGAAAAATCTAACTGCAAAGAGTACTGTTTTGGCCTTCTGGGCCTCATCAGTGCAGTGCTGATGCTAGGATGGAGGTTGTATAAGCTATTGAAAAATCAATATTAATGGCCAATGGCCACTCACCTCTGACCCCCGGGTGGCTGGTGTGTACAAGTAGTTTGACTGTTGTAAACAATAATAGTTATGACTCTTAGCTTTGTTGATGATGTTATGGTGAGAAAATTCAGATGAAGCCATCAGATCATCAGCACTTGTGCATGCTACCATTTGGCACTAGATTCTAGTTACTTAATGTTTGATGTCCTGTTGTTATTGTCTATTATTGTTAACAGCTCTTACACCAGGAAGACAATGCAGCCTGCCTGTCCTTGCACGCATGTTTGACAAGTTGAACTTAGCATACAAAAATTATTCCCAGGAGATAGAATTAGCTGCCCAGCAGGTACTGGTCTACAGTTTTTAATTCTCATTTATTATACCATCAACTCTTATTTTAACTGCGGAAGGATTAGCTCAGTCGGTAAAGTGCTTGAGTTTACAGTGGGAGGACTTGGATTCGAATCCTGGGGCCGGGGGTACTACATACTCGAGGTCTTAAAACAACTTAGAAATGAAGGTACCGCCTTTGCCCTGCATACCGCTAAACCTTCATGTAGCTTGGATAACCACGTAGAATGGTGGCCCTGTCTCCAGAAGGAGATGTAAATATATTGTCCTCAATAATTAGTACTTTCCTGCTAAATAATAATTATTTATTATTACAATTACATGTACACTCAAATAAAGTGTTTTTTTCCTTTGCATTATTCAATGTAATTTTTGGGTTAACTTGCACTTGTACTGTGATTATAATTTATGACACAGCAACTACACAGTCTGTCACAATTTTCTACAAAAAGAAGTTAGTTTACACCAAAGCAAAACGGTTTCTGTCCTTGTTCTGGATACTCAATTGAAGGATTTGAGTAGAACATTGCCTTGATCAGTCTGGCCGATTATGAGTGGTCCTGATGGAGGACAATACCCTCAATAGAAAGATCAAGGATGCAATGCAGATAAATACCAGATGACCATTACTAAACAGGGATGAACAGCTAGCCGAGCTAACAAATGTCCACAATATCATGTACTCTGCTCGCGTGATGATTGCTACCCCTAGTCATCCCAGTCATCCTAGCCATCCCTAGTCATCCCAGCCATTCATAGTCATCCCTGTTGTCCCAGTGATCTCTAGTCTTCCCTTATCATCCCAGTCGTCCCTTATCATCCGTTGTCATCCTGAACATCCCAGTCATCCCAGTCATCTCCAGTCATCGCATTCATCCCAGTCATCCTTAGTCTTCCCAGTCATCCTTAGCCTTCCCAGTGATCCCTAGTCATCCCAGTCTCCCTGATCATCCCCAGTCTTCCCAGTCATCCCTTGTCATTCCCGTTATCGTTACATCCCTAGAAATTCCAGGCTTTCCTAGGCATCCAAGTCATCCCTAGTCATTGCAAGTCACCCATGTCACCTTAGTCACCCTTTTCACCATCCCAAGTCACCCTAGTCACCTTAGTCACCCTTTTCACCATGGTTCCCCAAGTCACCGTAGTCACCTACAAGTCATCCTAGTCACCCTAGTCACACTACTTACCCATGCCATCTTAGTCACCTTTTTCACCCTAGTCCCCCAAGTCACCCTAGTCACTTTAGTCAACCTACTCACCCTAGTGATCCAAGTCTCCTTAGTCACCCAAGTCATCCTAATAACCCTGTGAATGAATCAGAAATTCTGAAAGAGCTAAAAAATCTTAAAGTGGTAAAATGCATCTGGACTGGATGATTTCCCTAGTCACCCTGCTCACCCTAGTGACCCAGGTCACTGATTGCTCCAAGATGCTGCTTTGTTTTAACTTAACCTTTGACAATGGAGGAAGCTGATGTAGTAATCCCCCATGGTTTCAATTTGAGCTTCCTCGCCAGAAAAATACCTCCAGTTCTTCCACTTTTGTATATTTTTTTTTCTGGCAAATAAATAAACTTAAACTGAAACTGAGAAAAAGCTGAGATAGTTGTGGCATTTACCTTTACAAGAAAACTTGTAACATATCATCTATCTTGCCTACTTGGTGCAGCAATATCTGTGTCAGAGGTCACTCTGTGATAGTCTTACCAGCACTGCATTCAGAGTGAAGAAACACTTGTGGTTATTTTTTTCCTGATCAATTGTTTGTTGTTTCTGTAGTCCCCAGATGCCTCCAGGAATCACTCCCCTCAAAAACAGCTTTCTAGGTGGGTACTGGTTTTTATTTTTATTGGTATTTTCCTGTCAGGAATATTATATATGTTATTGTTATCTGGTACTGCCCGGATAAAAATTAATGAGCCATCAGCTGGCAATTTTGCTCCTTCTAGTGGAATAATATGTTTATTGCCATCGACCCAATACTTAAGTTTTAATTAATAATATTATAGTAAAAACCATGCAAGTTTAGTTCTGCTACTCTGCAGGTTTTTCTGCCTACTATTTGTTGTTAACCATTTTGAATGGGCTGCGTTGGCTGTGACAATTTTCTGGATTCTCCTTGCTTATTGCCTTGTATCAGCTTACAGCAGTAGTGAGGGGATTTGACATAAGATCTAGTCACAAGGGAATTTTTTCCACACATCGCTGAAGTTACGTTCAGAAGAAGGAATGAATTGGCAGGCTACAGTAGTTTTTATTATATATTTTTTCTTCATGATGGAGGCTAAATCTTTTGACATTTTTTTGTTCCACTTTCAATCAACAATCAATACCTTCCAGCAACATTAATTGTAATGTTAAGCAGGTTTTTCAAGAAGTCTTGACAGTTTAGGTTCAACCAATTTTTGTTGATGTTATCCCCATTATACAAGTCCAAGTTCGCCTTACTTGATATTGTGTGTCTTAAAAAGGATGAAAGGATGTTTACAAGTGTAATATTGGTGTGGCATCCTCATTTGACTGAGAAATTGGATGCTGACCTTTAAATGGAGCTATAGTTTACATTGTAAAATATTAACTATAAACTTCTAATAATCTCTTATCAGATGTCAGACTGTTGTCACTCAAGAAGATATGTACTCTCATGTGTTGTCAATGTTTGTGGAGAATAAGGTACAAAGAAATTGTGTTCATTAAGTTACAGTCTTACAGTAATGTTATTTTAGTACTGTCTTAAACTGTCTTCATTGTCTTAGCTGTTAGAGGTTAGATTTAGCATGATTGAAATCTGCCCTTCACACTAATAGCTTCTCTAAGTGGATCTTCCAAGTTCCCAAAAAAAAGCTAAACCTGCCACTAGTTCCAGTAAAATGGAGTGCGTTCAGTCTGTGTAGGCTTACCATACCTGAGAGGAACATCTGAAACATTACAGCAGATCTTTTAATCTCATGGGGTCCAAATCTTCCACAAGCCTTTTAACTCGCTGTGAAATCAATTGACACATGTAAAGGATTAATCAGAGAAATTAAAGAAGTGTGAAGGCATTTACCACTTCCCTGTGTAACCATCAGCCCCCATGATACTTAGAACTACTGTTTTTCAGCATCACTAAGCAACTGGTCACATCATCAACCTACACAATGCGAAAGTACTATCTGATGAAACTAACACCATCAGGCATAACACCATCAGTGGTAACGTTCAGTTTTCCTTTAACCCATTCGCCACTGAGCTGGCCACAAACACCCATGCGGATCTACTTCCTTTCTACTGCTTGTGATGTCATCAGTTTTGATTGTCAAGGATAACTTTGTCCGCTGACTTGTGCAGAGTGAAGAGATCTTTCAAACCATACCAAAGTGAGCACAATTCAGTCAAGGACACCAGAGGAAAGGCAAAAAACCTTGTAACATTGACCTGAAGATTTCCATGAAAATCTTGTTCCACTACCCACCTACCTTTCCTTTCATCTAATCCTGAGATCCTAAAAGCTTTCCTAAAACTTTTCCCACCAAAATGAAGCCTACTAAATGCCCAGACTACTATCTATCTCAAAATTTCGCTTTCTGCACATGCCCGAACTTCACAAGCTAATATTTTGCATCTGGATCAGAAGGCTGCAAAGTGTACAACAACTTGCTTCAAAACGCGTTTTTTTTGGCAAAATCTCTAGGGGCGAATGGGTAATCAATTAAAGTAAATAGCTGCCAGCCATTGACATTGCTTATTGTTTTTTAGGATATCAAGTATAAATTCATGGTGGCTGTGCTGGTAGAGTACATCCGTTCACTTAACCAGTTTGAAATCGAAGTTGAGGTAAGCTCAGAAATATTACGTAATAGTTATCATATTTTTTAATATTTTGTCCTTTTTAACAAAAAAATATATTGGTGTCATAAAAAGATTAATAGCTAAACTTGACCAGAAAAAGCACACTGTGGAAAATATTGTATTATTAATGAGCTAGTATACTTATGAGTGTATAACTTATGTTGTTGCCATTTTCTTCCTTTCTTGATAGCATTATCTCTATGAGTTGATTATCAACCTACTTGTACGCAACAAATGTTTTTATCAACTTCACCAGGTATGTTGTTATACTTCTTCAAATTGCACCTTCTGGTTGGCTAGAGCTGTTGATCCCACTTGGAAGAAAATACTGTTAAGAGGGAATAAAAATACAGAGGTTTCCAATCAGTGTATATTAAAAGTGAAACTAAAACTGATTTAAAAAAAAAAACGTAACAACAAGAAGACTAGACCAAATTGTGTAACAGTCTTACAGATGTAGGAAGCACATTCAAGTCATTTATTTTAATCAAGACCCATAATGCTGGTCCAGCTTCTGGGACTTAACCCTTTAAGTCCCAATATCAACGTACCAATTCTCCAAACTGATCTCTATACATTTCTTTAAAGAAGTGGTTGAGAGAATTTGATAAAAGATCATGGCATTTTCTCTTTGGTGATCATTTCATTAATTCTGATAACTCTATCTCTTGATAAGGTATGGATATTGTTAGGAGAAAATTGTTGTTGGTCTCTATTAATAAAGAGTTAACAACTGCATCGCTTAATGGAGGTTGGGTGCCTGGAGTATTCAGGGGCTTCCACTATTGGCAGCCAGCCCCTAGACTGAAATAATGCCCCCATGACTGGCACAACAGTGCAACCCAGCCATGAGCCCCCACATGAAGGAAAAGGAACAGGCACCCGTCACACTTAAAACATCAGTGGAGAAAAACCAACAAAGCCTAGGGGCTAGGGGGAGGTGGAAGGGGAAGAAAATGGCTGACAGGATCTAGCACGAAGGAAAACTGAATGTGCCAAAGAATCACATGATCAATGTAGTCAGCTACTGGGAATGTGCATGCGAAAGACCGCTGACCTCAGGCACTTGAGGCACTCTTAGTTGTTAACTCCTTTAAATTGCATTTAAATGCATTTAAACCTGGGACTACTGACAGTCTGATACTGACAACCAATCATTCAAGCTACTTATACTACTACATGAGAAATTTCTGCATTTTGATTGGCTTAGAGCAGTGGTATTTCAGCTTTATTTGAAATACCTACATGTGAAAATTACAAACTTTTTGCGGGTAGTAGTATAAACAAATAATAGCATGATTTGTATGTGATATTTGGCATAAATACCATTCGTGATATTTCAAAATTGTCACAAATTTCACTCGCCTAACGGCTCGTGAAATTACGTATAACAAATTGGAAATATCACTCGTGGTATTTATGCCAAATATCACTACAAATCATGCTATTACCTATACAAGCACGCCAGTCATAGTAAGTGGTTTTTATTTTTTCTTTCAGTTCCTACAGTATCATGTCATAGGTGATTCTAAACCACTGGTAAGTTTCAGTAATCTGTTGTTAAAGTTTTGGTTATTAACTGTGTATATAAAAGTTATATCTTATTGGCACAATATTTTATAAAAATTGGGAACTCTTTCAAGTCACATTAAATCTTGACTTGTAATACTCTGTTAGCAGAGAATTAATTAGCTATTTAATTCTGTCGGGAAAGTTTTTATCATGTTTAGTGTACCGAGTTATTTATGTCTTTGGTACTTTTCTAACTGGCTTGTTAAGTGTGTCCAAGACATACAAAAGGAACCTCAGTGTGTAAGCTGCAGAGCAGACTTGCAATAACTTACAACTTCAATGAGCATGAATAACATGATGAGAATGTTTTGCAGGCATGCCTCATGCTTTCACTTGAAAATGATTACCCTCCAACATATCAACTGGCTTTGGACATGCTGAAGGTAAATTATTGTTCCAACACTGCTGCATTTCCCATCTTAATACTTAGCAAGATTCATACATGTAGCACTATAAAAAAATCCAATAAACAGAATTGATGTTGTATTTCACTTTACACCCATGAGGCCATCATTCTTGTATTGCAAACATCAGGCAAACGTACTTCTATATGATAAACATTATTATTACAATCATAACTATAACAAAATTCTCAAATCTGATTGGCTATCAACTGTCCTGATTTCAGCACCAATAGGACAGTGTAATAGGACTATGCGTCATCCCTTGGACAGTAAGTGCTATTGCACATGCGCACTTAAATAGCTTGTTTTAACTGCTAGCACAAACTGTCCAAATTCCTTGTGATTTGATTTTAAAAAAGGCCTAAAATATCACATATTTTGATATAGTTATGATTGATTGGAAACAGAACTTTGTGTCATCCATACTCCTGTTTAAGAAAATCGCACTCCCGAGCACGCAGTCGTCCGATTTTGTTAATCACTTGAATGATTACACACTAAAATATCACACATTTTGTCATAGTTATGATTAATGGAAACAGAACTTTGTGTCATCCATACTCGTGTTTAAGCAAATCGGACTCCCGAGCACGCAGTCATCCGATTTTGTTTATCACTTGAATGATTACACACTGAATTGGACTCCACTCAGTCCAATTACCATATGATTATTTATCGTTATTATTATTAATATTATTGTTGTTTTTTTTTTCAGAGACTTAACACTGCTAATGAGGAAATAATTGAAGTTCTCCTGTCCAAACAACAGGTTAGTCTTGCATCATTCATGATTAATTTCTTTGAAATTATTGCATTTGATGTGTTTCTCTTCTTGACCTGGCCATTTCATTTTGTATCATTTTTATTACATAATTCTTTCCCCCTTTGCAGCTTTTACCTGCTCTACGTTACATTCGAGCCATTGGTGCCGAGGACTCTGCCTCACCAAGGAAGTTCTTAGAAGCTGCAACGAATCCAGAGGATCCCATGCTTTTCTACACTGGTACGTATGGTTCTGTTGAACATAGTCCGTTGCTTTGGTTCTTTATAATTATCACATTGCAACTATCTAGCCATCTCTTTGCATGGGTACAAGTGACATACTTATGGGATAATCCTAGGATGGACCTATACAATGGGAAGTAGTAAATACTCTAAGATGCTACTAAAACTTGGATAAGCTTTGGCTTTGTGTAGGCCTCCTTTCCTTGTAGTGTGACTTTATATCATGTATCCATGATAACCATGCTATTAAGCTTTTTTTTATTTTTTTTATTAGATTCGCCAATTCTTGGCAGGGTCAATGCAACAGCAGAGGCTATTACTGTGTGCCCATAACAGTCCCTGCCCCCATGAGAGATATACCCCCACACTGTGGATTACTTACCCTACTCTTTTAGACTTGAAAATTAAGTCCTTTTAGGTTCTTTGAGACAAGTAGATTTTCTTGCTCAGGGCATGTAATTTTTTTAAGCTTCCTTGCCCAATGGGCAAGTGTCTAGGAAAATCATCTTGTAACTAAATACAGTAATTAACTAAGAAAAGCAAGCAGTAGCACTATATAGGCAAGCAAAATTCAAGTTGACAAATTATTTTTTAAGCGCGATGCCACTCACATGTGACCTCTGATCTAGCGGCACTCCTTAACTTGAGAAGCTACTTGCAGGCTAGATCCCTATAGGTACTTGGCACAGTAAAATTTAATTTGTTGCCTCTGTCATGTAGGTTGAGGGTTGCAACTTTGGCTGCAGGGCTTAAGAAAAGTAGTAGCGAGTTTGGGCAAGCTGTGTAAATTAAACCCCTGCTAAGTATGGGTAGCCCCAGCGGGGGGTACTAGAGTTGAACCTGAAACATCTTTATAGTCTTCACTGCTGTCGTGTAACTGTTTGTCTTTTCTTTTTCTGTTTGTCTTTTTTTGTTGCAGTGTTCAAGTTTTTTGAACAACGTAATATGAAGTTACGTGGAAGCCCCGAGTTTGTTCCTGGTAAGTCATTAGTAGTACCGTAAATTCATGTCAACTTTTTTTTGAAGGGACTGCCCCCTCCCACCCCCTTGTGCTTGCAGGCAATAAATTCCTGACAGATTTTATTTGGATGATCTCTAAAGAGAAATTCAAATATAGGGTGAGTGAACAGGCTAACCCAGTAACAACTTATGCTATTTTCCATTATACAGGTGAACACTGTGAACCATATGTAAAAAGGTTTGAATTGTTGTTTGGATCAAGTCGCAGTGGAATATCTCAGGGCAATGGAGGAATCAATTAAACAAAATACATGGGAGGCCATGTTGAGAACGAGATCAGGGGAAACTTAGAATGAGCTGGAAATGTAGCCTCCCACGCAGACGTTCTTTTGGCTCATCATGCAAACCTCCCTCATAGGAGAAGAACTCGTGAATCAGATATGCTTTGGAATAAGTTTAGGTGAACTATGAATTAGGCCTGCAGTATATTGGACAGTGGGCAGAGGATCTTTCCCACTGGCCAGTAAGTCAGTGAGTTTTAGTTTGGACTGACACCAGGACAAAATATGAGCAGAGAGTACAGTGGAACGTACCCCACCTTACTGTCACCGACTTATTACAGAAACTTCGTTATTACAGCCACTTTTTTTGGTCACCCGGACAAAATTGTCTATACGTTTTTTTGTAAAGAAACCTTCGTTAATATGGCCAATATTTTTTGGCCCCTTGATGACCGTAAAAACGGGGTTCTACTGTATGAATTTTCAGCCAGCTACAGCTCATTATTATGGATAGTTTGCTGTCCCTGAGGAAAGAAAGCCCATACTTTTTCTCTAAATTCAACCCTCTTAATATGGACACCCCATTAATACAGACACTTTCTATGGCCCCCTCAGTTTCTGTATTTAATGGGGTGACTGTACCTCATTCTTGTTGGCGAGAAGATTCATAGACAAAAAATTTGGTTGATCTACTTAGTTCATAAAGTAACTTGGCCACTGAAATGTTACCTTAGATAAATAATTTTCTGAGAATCTGACATTTAGAGCACTAGCTAGCCTTTTGTAACTTTTTTTCTAACTTGAAATCTCAGTTACTGCAGTCACGCCTCTGAGCCCATACTCAGTATCACAGGCCAAACTAGAAATACTAACTTTTGTCTGGGTGGCCTGTTCTCTCCATTATTTTCTTCCTATATGAGCAAACAAGTGACAGCTCTGTGTAGGTAGTGCATCATGGTAAGTGTGGGGTGGAAACTTAAAACTTATGCTCTTTTAGCAACCTGTTTCAGACACATGTATGTGCTCGACTAGACTGTTCACAGTCTTTTATTTTCCATTAAGGTCGTCGAGAGTTACGGGTTGCCATCTTGGATGAGTGTCAAAACTACTTAGGGGGCGGGGGGTGGTTTGGGCCCATCTCCCCCTAGAGCTACATGTATAATCCCCGACTCCCGCCCCCTCGCTACATTTGAAAATCAAGATGGCCGCAATTAATGGTAAGACGCGCTATATCACGACGATCTCGTGGAGAAATAGGGGACTGTGAACAGTCTAATGTTCGACAGGATGCTAGCCAGATAGTTTGCTCCACTAACCTCAGACAATTCGACAGCACTTTTGTTGCATCCTGATACACAAGAGTGCTGGTATTTAAGACAAAAAGAACAGATTTTAACTTGTGTTATCAGTTTTTTAATCATTTTATAAGAAAATGGTTTTCAGAGTTGCTTTAAGTGGGTCGATATCATTCAAAGTATGTGAAGAAATTCCTTTTCAAGTATTTTCAGGCTATTGCATACAGTTTGCTGTAACTTTTCAAAAAAAACTTTTTGTAATAATAAATAGGGTAGGATTTCTGTCATTAGCGATGTAAGAGTTTTCAAACAAAGGTAATTAAATTAGGGTGCAATTACAATAATTATTCCGTTTTTTAAAAATTAAATTATCAATTGAATTATCAATACACTGAACGTTACTTTGGCATAATTTTAAAAATTTCAAGTTTCCCTTAAAAAGTGCACCACCCTGCAAACTGAAAGTATTAGCCGTGAAATAAGAATTTGATCTTTCAGGTCTTTACAATCTGTTTCTATATTTTCTTTTTCTTTCATACTCAACACTTCTTGAACATCTTCGTTTAGTTTCTCTTGTTATAAAATTTTGCCATGTTTAGCCTTTACGAAGTTATTATTTACAAGATGCTTTTTTCTCAGCACATAACACTCAGAGATATTAAATTACAATAAGACATGTACATTATAGCTATAAATAATAATACACAATAATGTGTGATGACAACGTAACTTAACACTATGTACAACTTGTATTGTATAATTTGAATAAAACTATATGGAAGATTCATCTAGAAGTCTTTTTTTCTATTTTGCTATAAAATCTGTTATAATATAGTAAATTTGACAATTTCCTATTTATTTATTTGCTATGTTTGGAGAGACACAGGTGGTCCACTGTGAATATCACTGTCTGATTCCCAGTTCCCCTCTGATATGATTGGACGAGGAGGTGCAAAGATGTTGGGAAACCTAAAAAAAATGGACAGGACAAAAAAAATTTAGTTGTGTAAGACGATTATGAAAGATCTAGATGTCTAACTAGTACTGTAGTAGCCTATGCCAATATTAATTTTATTTAGGAAGTCACAGGAAGTCACAGTTGTATCAAAATGTTGTGCCATTTAATGGCACAACATTTTGATACATGTAAATTCAATAGGGCGTTTTTGAAACTGAAAACTATCAATATAGTCTACTACAAGAAAAGGTACTGAGACAGGTTGAATGAATATTCAGATAAAGAAATTAAAAAACAAACAAACAAATAAAACAAACTGTGGTACTGCATGGCTGGTACAGTGAAGTGCAAGCATTTAATTTTATCGGCTGACCCACACTACATACTGTTCTAATTCTGCAGATAGCATACCTTGATTGTGATATATCTTCCACAGGTTTTCTATTAAGTAGAGTTGAGTTTGGAGCTCTGGCTTGTACTATAGCTGCCAATGGTTTTGTGCCCCTGGGAAGAACTCCTTGTCCAACTCCTTCATAAATTACAGGATTCAATCCTGGGTTTTGAGAGCCTGGTAATGGTGGCAAAGAGGGTATACTGGTAAGGGCATTAGATGAACCAGAGATGAAGTTTGTAGATGTCCCTCCCTCAAGGAAGTTGAGTTGCCTTCTCTGACGTCTTCTGGCATCTCTGCTGGCTTTCCAGTTCATTAAGAACCTTTTTGCAGTCTCATTGATTTCCTTGCCATCCAGCATTACTACGAAGTCAACAACATTATAATGTACATTAAGGACACATAAACTGCAATAAAAAGAATAGCTTTAAAACTATTAAGTACGATAGAATCGATGAAAAGTCATCCAATATTTGTTTCTACTAAAGAGATCTTTGGTGTAAAAATTCCAAAAAAAACCACTTTCAGAGACTTTGGTAGTCTTTTCACATTGCACTACAGTAATAATTTTTGTTATTCAATATTTAAAAAAAAATTAAGGATTTTTTTCTTAAGTTTTTCATTCTTTTATCAAATGTCACTAAAAACCACTTACCTAATGATCGAGACATAACTATGACTCTGTCTCTATACTTTTTCTTGTGACACAAAGTATTCCCAGTCATCTCTAACCTCCATACTGATGGCCATGCAGCCAACACTCTTGAAAGTTCCTTCAAGTCAAAGACAAAAAAAATTTAACTGACAATATTATCAATAGAATTGCAATACACTGACCTTAGCAGAATTAATTCATGACATAAAACTTGGTCCATCCTTTTAAATGATCTGAGTAAGTTGGCCAATTATTGAAGTATGAGCCAGAGGATGAAGAAAATAACATGCATTTACCTTCATATCTGAAAGACAGTTATTTTCTGTGAAGAACTGTGTCATATTTGTCAGGCATTTTAACTCTTCAATTGAATCAATGTTGTTCTCTGATATGTTCAACACACACAGGCTTTTCTGTAAAAACAAGAAAAATACCATATGTTAGTCTATTGTTATTCTTAAATTCCTGTTATCCTATCATCATCATCATCACCACCAAAATCATCATCATTATTCATCCAAGCATGAATGTCCAGTAATATTGAGGCAACCCACACACTTAATTTCAACAAATAGTTTTAACAGCTCAGTCTGTTCACAGTTAACCTTGACTAGACTGATTCATGATTATTGTGTCAGTGATATATGATTGCTGTCTCAGCAAACATTGTGAAATACTTACAGCAAGAGCTTGAAGTGATCGTGGCTCAAAGAGGAGCTTTTCTCCAGGGGGTAAAGTCTGTTTCTCAATGTGAAGCTCTCTTAAATTCTCTAACCTTTCTAATCCTTCCACAACTGTGATGGCATTTGAACCCAGGTATCTGGAAAGACAACAAGTCAATAACTTAGACAATACTTCTAACAGTGGAATACTACCTCTTGCATAAGTTAACACAGGCCATCATCCACAGTAATCTACAGGATATTCCTCAGGCAGTCACATAGATTTCAAGTTACCAGGCACATGCAATAGTTATTATATCTTTTGGGTCTATTTTCTTTTTGTGTCTTATACTACACTAGCCAGGGGACAACCCAAGTCCCAGCTATAAAGCCCTGATCGCTGCCTCACTGTTCTGAGGCTTTTATTTATCCTGACATTTAAAATGACCAAATATAAATTATCGGTAACCGAAACTGTTACGCTTTAAACGGGGCAACCCTCCCCGCCAAAGTCAAGCCAGTTCAGCATAGCCGTGGCACAAGGTCTGAAACAGGCTTTATACTTTGGAAAAGACTTTTAGTAAGCTTACTTACTGGCCTCAGGTCAAGAGCTGGACAGCACTATACACTGGATAAATCACTATCCAGTGGAAAGCCTTATCGACATTTTTGAACTACTGGGGCCAGGAGGTTTATTAAGGTAAGGTACTACGGCTGTTTACTTAATACAGACTTTACTACACGTGTAATAACTATTACTGTTGACACTCTGACTCAACAGTAATAACTCATAAAGAGGAATTACTTACAGCTTTGTTAATCTTTTAAGATTGTCTAGTCCCTCTATCTTTGTTATTTGATTTTTTTGAAGATATAGGTGAGTCAAGTTGCTTGCAAATCCAAGATTCTTGATCTTTGAAATGTTATTGTCATAAAGGTAGAGGACCGATAGATTGCGGCAGTGATGGAGATTATCCTGCAGCAAATGAAAGAAAACAAGACCATCATTAGGCGTCTGAAATTACTGATCAACGAAAACCATATGATTTTCAAAACTGTTTTGCCAAAAGTGGATTGGAAAGCTTCATTTAGATAAACCTTGTGGAAGCTTATGATAGTATGAAACAAATATAAGCAAATACAGCACGTTATAATCAATAAAAACTTTACCCAAAAACCTGCAAAACAATCATCGATATGGTAAAGAGTCAAAAGTATATTTTACTTACGATCTCATCAATGTTCTTCTCTGAAAAATAAAGATGAGTTAATCGCCGTACGTACTGCTGTACAGTTTCATCTCTTCTTTTCTTTGTATGGCTGTGGGATTTCGCGATCAATTCTAATGAAATCTTTCCCATTATCACGGAATGTTAAGATTCACTGTGGAAACCAAATAGTTTGAGCACTTTTATGAACATGTCACATGACCAGGAAAACATTACACGTTACCTTGGAAACACATTTAGAGTCCAGTCCGCGCGAAAAATGCGACTGAAAAGCCCTGAATACTAATTTGATGAGAACCAAAATGGCTGCCCGAACTTTCGGAGGGAGATGACAGGTTTGTAGAATAAGTCATTACAGGAACTAGTGAGTTCGATAGACTACTTCACAAACAACCTCATAGTGTGTCTTCTGCGTTATTAATCGAATATCTTTTAGTGGAGGACCGGTGAATCGTTCTTTAAAAACAGCAGCGATTGCGTGTTAGGAAACAAAAAGTATTCCAGGTTCGTGCCGCTGAGGCAAGAAAGTCAAATTTTAATGGTTATATTGGAGGACAAAGATCAGAAATTGAACGAACGCTTTTCATAGGAAATGTCTGAAGAATCTAGAAGAGAAAATTGGATGTGTCGGCATTTGACGTTTTATCATTGTATGATTTTTTCAAGTTTAGTTCAGAAAGTTAAATTTCGTAGCCGTGTTATTGATCCCGATTTTGTTTTTCCGAGAACATAAATCTTTCCCTTATGACCTAAGTCACCTTAATCCGCAAGTAAGCTTAAATAGTTTTTGCACTCAAAATCGAAGGAATAATGTAGAAAATTAAAATAATCCTTGGAATTAGTAGCAGTTTTTGTTGTTTTTGTTCCATTTGCAGCGTGCGATATTCATTTGAAGTTATCCATGCGTGCTAAAATTCGATAGTGTAACATAGTATTTTATAAGCGTACAATATGTGTCTTAATCCTCTTATTGAGCATTGATTTTTTACAGTGATTACAAAGAGAGATGCAATACACGTGAAGATCACAATAAATTTGAAATGTAGGCCGTCACGTCGATAGGAAGTAAACTTGACCAGTGTTCCGCAGTATGTCCGGAGATCTACAAGCTACGATCGAATTTTCTGTGGAGTTTTCGACGTTTCATAATGTCGACCTATTTCAACGAGGGTAAGTGCTAAAAAAAATAACCCTTATAACTCTAGAAAAGTTTTTATGTACGTGGCATGAATGTTGGTTTTTGAAAACCCTTTCAATGGTGAGTTTTTTAAATTTATTGTGAGTTTTAGGACTCTCTTTCAATTTACGTCATGTCTCTCATTTGCAAACTGTTTACCTATATTTTAAATTACTGAAAAACACAACAATTAAAACGTTTTCTCCTCAATTTTTATTGCATCATTTTTTTATTAAATATAAAACGCTTTTTGGACATTATGCCAACTGAGAGACGAGTGTGAGTAACTCAAGTTTTTGCTTTATAATTAAGTCATTCTTGTTTCAAATTAAAAGTCCACCTTAGTTGGCAGGCCACATTTGCATGTATGCTGAATCCATACTGAATAATTACCTTGGTGAGATGGGAAACCGTTGCCAAGTATTCAGAAAGATATAGAAATAGATAGCTATAGTTGTTGCAGAAAGAGAGGGGGTGGGGGGTAGGGAACCTTAGACCCCCACCTTTTGGGATGAAAAATGTCTTACCTGAGTTTTAATATTTTAGATCATCAGATTCAAAATATACAAAAAATAATAAATTCAGTTCCAAATTTTTCATTCACATGGTGACCTCATTGTCAACTTTGCAACACTTTTCTCTGTTCTTTTTACAATGTGTGAACTCCTTTTATTTGAGAATTTTAAGGGCACAGCTTGTGCCACTTGCTTTACCAAAAGGAAGGTAAGATTTTCAACTGTAAAAGAATGGAGTTAACAAATTTTGTTTCTATCCAGAATTAGTTTGCTTCGGGATCAATGTTTGTACAAATGACTGATTTTGTTAGGCTTGGAGATGAAATTTTGTCATTGAATACTTGTCTTAGTAATACCCACACAGTTGTTAGCTAGCTCAGAATCAGGCTTAACGCACCATGGGGATGGTCGCACAGAGCAGAAAAAAAAAATTGAATTAAAGTCTTTATGTAGCCGAGGAGACACCGAGAGGTTTTCATTTTTCAGACTCAGCATTAAGGCTGTTTAATTCTATTTCATGGGTTGTTTTAGTAAACCTAAGAAGGATGTAAGATTGGGGGTCTCACAGTTTGTTTTGCAAACCCAAAATGTGATATTGGCTCTATTAATAACTGAGGAACCTGACCCGGGGAGGGGGGTTACTCCCATACATTACCTATACGGGTATGTGCTGCCCAACGGGGTCGTGATTTTGAAGCTCTTGATTTAGAACGGGGTATCCATTTCAGAGGCGTTTTCTAGAACGGGGTATAAAAAATTGTGGATCGCGGCTTTATTTTCTGCTTAAAATTGTCGCTGATTATGAAGAAGCATTTATTTGATGTATAGGTCGAACAAATAAAGAAATATCTTTTTAAAAAAACAGGGCTCTTTCAATTTACAAACTTTCTAGAACGGAGTATAAAAAATTGGCCCATTTCTTGCACGGGGTATCAGTTTTAGGGCGAGTTCTAGAACAGGGTATAAAAAATTGGCCCATTTCTAGAACGGGGTGCCAATTTGGAGTCCTGGGCGGCACATACCCACCCAAAAGATACCCAAGTGCCCCCCCCCCCTGGGGAACCTGACAAGAGACTAATTTAGAAGCACAACTTTCTTTTCAGTTATTATCAGATTCGTTGTACACTGAAACCTCCACTAAAGGCTGCTGCCACTACAGAAGTTGAACAAAGACAACAGTTTGGTTTAGGTAAATTTATTGTGTTGTATTTACCTAGTGAGCTGATCCCACAGGACGGGGGGGGGCTACCATATAAATGTGGCAAGGACACTTAAGGATATTTTTGTGTCAGGGTGGTCAGGATGGAGGTCCGGAACATTTAAACACTGTAAATCCCAAGAGTGGCCAACATCAGTTTTCTCCTAACAATATCACTTCATAAACATGAGAAAAAGTTACAACAATCAGTGATTTTGTTACAAATAGATATGGTGAGTCCTGGGACTCATCTGGAGAAATATCATGAGTCCCTTTCCAGAACCAATGAGTCCCAGTTTAAAAACAACGAGTTCCTTGATCTTTATGTAACCACACAGTTAATCTGAAGACAGACTCCAAAACTCTGTATTACAGTTTACTGAAATTAAAATATCTCCTTCTATTGTCAAGCACAACAAAAACTAAAAGAAATACGAGTCCTTAAACAACAGCCATAAGAACAGCCACTGAAATCACTCAAACAGGATATTCTACAAAAACATTTTACAAAAACTTCTTCAGGTCAATCAATCAATCTTTGCATCCCATGGGATGTATACCACAAATTATTTTGCATCTTTGGGAATTTTTATGAGCCAGGGACGGAGGACGCAGAGGTAACAAAATCACTGGAGAATTAACAAAAATTAATGATCTATGATCTTTAAACAAATCAAATTCTTTCAGGGTTCTCAATAGATTTTTAAGTAGGAGGTGATCACTGATAAAGTAGGAGGCTCTTCAGCAAAGCGAGACGTGTCAAAACAAAGCAAAGAAAAGCGACTTAAACACAAAGTAAGCGGCTATAAATCCCAAAGAAAGCAGCGATCAATCGCCGGGTGCCGCCTTCTATTGAGAACCCTGTTCTTTTATTAATTCTTTAAGGAAATGTACATGTGAATGTATGGACATCAGTCTGGAGAATTTGTTTTTTGATATTAGGGCTGAAAAGCTTAAAATAGTTTAAGTGCAGTAGGTTTTTTTAAATGGAAAACTGTCATTTTGTAATTATTTTGTTTGAATAGAAAATATACCATACAAATGTGTAGTGACACTGGTGTTTGAGCTCTGTGTAAATTTTCATGAGCAGGTGTTACATGAGAGAAAAATTTATAAAGAACTCTCCAGAAAACCTAAAATCAGAATGCATTTGAGTATAATGACTATGAGGGAGAACGCCAAACCCACCAAAAAATATAATTAACTAAAAGTTATCTCTTAGGCTTTAGTGAACAATCAAGAAAAGTAAATTCCCAATTCCCACTTACCAGTATTCCAGTTTTCAATAGACCTTTATAGTGGAACAGGGGCTAGAATAGTAATGGTACTGTTTCAATTGAAAGGCTTGGAAGTTCTTTTAATAATAAACTATTTTTCATTTGTTTCCTATCAAAAAAGCATGGGGTTATACTTGTATTAGCCAGGGGAAATCCCCAGCAGCGACCCTTGATGATTCGGTTCAATTTAGGTTTCTGGGAAACTGCCCGCCTACCCCTTCCCTAAGCCAACATTTTCGCTAGGTGAGAAGTAAGTGATAATGTTGGCTTAGGGGAGGGGTAGGTGGGCAGTTTCCCAGACACCTAAATTGATCCAATGATTCATGTCCCTCTGCACATTGCTTTTTTGGACAGAGCCATATGTATACAGGTTAAAATTAAATTCAGGTTATCATATTATTTTTTAGCCAAGGTTGATTCTCAATTTCCTTTGTCTCCTAACCCTAAGTCATGAATAATTAGGGCTAGGAGACAAAGGAAAAAGGAGAATCAACCTAGGCTAAAAAATTTTAACCTGGATTTAATTTTGATCTGTAACAGATACTTACATGTAGTGGTATCAACTTCATGCATTGACAATGAGTAATGAATGCTTAGGCTGTGCATGTTCAGTTAAACCCCAATTTTTGAAAACCTTATGATTAAAACCATGAGATATTCTTTCCACCCAGTCTTATGATAAACATAAATTGAGGCAATGAGGATTTACTGAACTTTTATACTGGTACTAACTCACAGCTTAAACTTTAGATGAACGAGGGACAGAGTATTTATTAGGAGCAGCCATTGCACCATCTGGGGTGACAGCCATCTCCAAAACCTTCCAAATTCTGTACAGGAATGAATCTGTTATGGTCAATGATTGCTTTGTGTTCCGTCTTCACATGTTGGTGAACAGTGACAAGGTAGGATAGTATATCTCTCTCCGTGTGAAAAAGGACTCTGTTGTAAGATCAGTAAATAACAGCTAAAAGCTAAACAACTGAGACTATTCTGACATGTTCAAGAACTAGTCCAGCGAAGCAAGTAAAAAACAACGTACGTGGTCGCCCGTTTTTGAGGTGTGCATGCAAGTCAGTCAGGGAGCCCCTACGGGGGATTCCCACAGGTTCCAATGTTACAACAGATCCAAAGTGTGCAAATATAAACAAATATAAAGTAGACTCCTGTGAATACATCCACTACTGGATTGTGAAGATTTGCTCGAATTAGCAGGATGTCACAACAGGGTAAGCTGCCTGTTAAGGGACACACAGCCAGATCTTAACCCAGCTTCAGTTGCACAAAGAAAAAAAAACGAGCAAGGTGGTTTTATCTACTGTTACTGTCACTCCTGGTAGTTACCAGAGTAAAAAATCCCCCCCCCCCACCCCCTTGTATACACACACACTCACACACGCAAAAACATATATACAGGTATATCAAATTTTCTTAGGTAAAATCCTAAGAAATGAGGTTTAAAATGAATGGTTACATTATAAGATTATATTTTTGTCCACAGATTTAAATGTTTAGTAATCTTACCATAACTTATTCTTGCAGTAAAAAGGTTAATGAGATCGTCATATTGTGGGTTCCTCTGTAGGTTCCTTCCTCCTTGAAATGTTTTATCTAGGGATTGAAATGTAAAGTTTTATGTTATACATTCTGTTATTTTTTCAATTTTAATACTCAGGTTGTCCAAGAGATTGACCAGGCTGATTATCAAATGACAGTAGAACTATTTTTCTCTGATTCGGACTACGGGTAATGAATTCCCTAGATATAAGTTTATCATTAGTTTCTTGTATATTTTTGCACGTAAAATAAATTACTTAAATAAAAATGTGTGCTTGGGATTAAGGCCCAAGTGAACTCTGATAAACTACTAGATTCTCCTCGCATTTTGCCTTGTATAAACTTATGAATCTAAGGGAGAGTTTTGGATTATCACACCCACCCCTTCATTAGTGTCATGTAGTTTTGAAACATCCAGCGGGGCTAAGATTTTAAGTTGCTTGGTACAATGCAATCAGTATATATGGGGGGAATTCAAGAGGAAGGAAGTTCTTCTCACTCAAATTATTTCCCGTTTCAATCCTGGCCCTTAATGACAACCCTGAAATTTAGTTATTATTTTGTTTGTTTGAATGTCTGTCCAAAAATATATTGCACATAGTCTTTACTGAGGAATTGACTTTTTTGGTAATTTCATTTTTCTAGTGACTTTATTTGAAATGATCTTCACTTGTTTGCTTGTATGATCATAATTTTTTTTTTTTTGCAGTGCTGACTCTGTTGATTCCTCAATGATGGTTGTGAGTACGCAAACCCTAAAGTTGCACATGTCCTGTGTAAAGGGTCTTCATCATCATGTACCAATTTTGTTTGATTATTATCATTTTGCTGTCATTGATACCACTATTCATGCCACAGTGACAGCACTTGGTCTTCCCAACCACAGGTAACACTGACTTTTTTGCCGTTACATTCATTTTTTAATCATGATAATGATATAACGCTTTATAATGTTTCTTGTGTGAACATTCTTTCTGTTTTTATATTCTTAGCATTGTGCGGCCTGTAAAGAATACCTGGATTTCCAAGCAACCTTCCAACCAGCGTGTGTCGACACCAATGTTCTACGTCACACTTTTCAGCAACAAAGCTCTTGCCCCCCAGGTACGTCATTCAATATTGTTTTAACTCCACCGGTATTTTGTTTTAATTTTTATAATTTTCAGGAATTAGTTTTATGTAAATCATTTGTAGGGTTCAATTGGTACTTTTTATCAAATCAGAATTCATTAAAGATTTAAAATTTTAAATTGTAAATGGACTGAGCTGAGTGGATTGAGTATGATTATTTTTGTTCATCTTTATTTGTAGTCCTTTGTAGGACTGATGGTGAATTTGACTGACATTTTCATTGACAGTTATCATCCTTTTGACTTTAAAGATGACTTCCACACACAAAATTGTCAAAACACCATTTGCTGCCATCAACAGAGCTATTCTTGGCTACACTCACTCATGCAATGATATTCAATCCTCTTTATGTGGCTAATTCTTCCAGCTGATCACTATTTAAATGGCCTTTTTGTGTAGAGCCTCAGTGTTTCCTGAGATGTCCACTTTGGTAATCTTGGAAGTGAAAAATCAAGCTGTAACCAGCAACATGTTGTTGCGTTGTAAAATTTTGTATAGATGGCAAATAAAGAATGAATGAATGAATGAATGAGTGATTGTGTGAGTGAGTCTAGCCTCTAGAAATAGGACCATTAGTGTCAGCCAATGGTGTTTGTACTTTTTTAGCAAAATAAATTATTGGTAGGTGCAAATTCATCTTTGAATCCATATTGTTGCTTTTTTCCAGAGTTCCAAGACTTCGCTTTTGGAAAAGCAGTTACAGTTTGCATATGACACTCACAGGTGTGATTTTTTGTTTTGTTTATTTTTTGTTTTTGTTTTGTCATTGTTGTTGTTGTTTTTCAAGAAGGATATTCCTTCTGAGTTTTGATAGAGGTATGGTTTAGGCAGCTCTTTCTTATTCAGACACCATGCACTACAAGATGAACAACTTCAATTCCAAAAACAAGACACCTTAAGTTGGTCCCTGCAATTCTTCATTCATTTTCCTTGACTCTCTATAAGAAGGACACCTCCCTTAAACAGACACCTAGAGTTGGTCCCTTCCATTCTTGAGTCATTTTCTTTTGACTTTTCATAATGTAGACACCTCCCTAAAATGGACATTAAATGTAAATTTTAGAGTTCCAGGGTCCCTCCTATTTTAGCCTTAATACCATTTTTCTTGAATCTTGAAACTCTTCTCTGAATAAAAATCAAGTCCTTGAAATACGGTACCTTTAGTTGCTACTGTTAGGTGGTATGTGACAAATGTTTGGATTATGATGTGTTTTCTGACTAACCAGATCATGTCTACTGTACATAAATCGTATCTGTTTCGTAGATATACAATGACAAACATTTTTTAATTTTTTTTTTCATTAATTTTTACAGATCATTATGCAGTACTTTGCTCTCAGCACAGATTAATCTGCTGGCTTATTTTCAATGTTTAATGGAACTTCTCCCTGAAAATCAAAGGATAGAAATAGGTAAGAATAGCAAAAATGCATTTTTCTGTAAAAGGTAGAACGTTTTTTGCATCAAATGAAAACTCAGGAAAAAAATCGGAACCCCAGATGGTATTTGAACCCATGACCCTCTATGATCTAGTCGAGTTTTCATTTGGTGCAAAAAAACATATCATGTTCTACTTCTACAAAAAAAGACTCTGTAAAAGATGTCATGGTGTTCCTTCACAGCACGTGTATACTAGAGATTATAAATATTTTTGCATCCTTTGAGTTTAATTTTGTCTTTTATCATACACAATCATTTCACAGTTATGCAAAAGGTGTTTTAAAAGGTTTGAAGACTCTGATTTATAAGGATTTTATGTCCTTTCTGGGTTCTTTAAAGATTAATTAAATAAAGCACCAGCTATAATTTCACAAAATTATTTAATATGGTCTCAATCTCCAATAATATTGATCCAACCTAATTCAGTAGTTGTAAGGCTAGTTGTAATTGAAACTTAATCTCAGGGCCAAAATCATGAATAGAATTTTTTTTTTTCAAAAAGGTGTGGTAGACTTTGGTGACAAGCTGGATGCCCTTTGCAGTGCAACTGAGGTACACTGACATTAGTTTTCTAAATTTCTTATTTTTTTGGTGCAATAGTTAGGTGCCTTTCAGTACATTTCAGCCATTTAATTCTTGTGAACTATTTGCAGGCTACAGTTGGTTGTGAAGAAACATTTTCTCAAGTATGCAGTAATCTGAATAACCTTAGTTCAGAGGTGAGGGAACCTAATCTTCTGAAAACTGTTAACTGTTATAACTATTTAGATGATTTAAAAAGGTTGGTGAAGAGTCTTCCAATTCTTGAAAATGACTTGAAATTTGCAAACCAGTTTTCTTAACCTGGTAAAAGTCTGGAAGACTAGAACGGTTAGTAGTATAGCGTGGACCAGTTTTCCCATTTTTTTGAAATGGAATCTCATTAGTTTCAAGTTGAATTATATTATTTTCAATATCACTGTGTTGTCAATCATTTATGCTTTGTTTTGATTTTATTAAGAATCAACAGATTAACATTCATTGTAAATTTGTTGATGAGCTGTTTTGAATTGGATGTTGTGTACACAGTCTAACCTCTCCTTACTGACACCTCTATTACAGACAGTTCATTTGGTCCCAGAAATGCCAAAAATCATACATTTCCTACCTCTTTAATACGAACACCTCTGTAAAGCGGACAATTGGTTCTGTCCCTTGGTATCCATATTAAAGAGGTTTGACTGTACTTTTCTCTGACATTTATCTCTATTTATGTCCAAGGTTTCTCTTGCATGGTCTCAGTTCTTGGAGTTCTTTACCCTCAACAAAGCTGTTTTACCTTTCCTGAGAAAAGAGCACCATAATCAGAGGGTAGGAGTCACACAGTCTTCCATTAATTAGAAAGTACAATATATTATATTATTTTTATTGACTACTGGACAAAAAGTATCATTTAACGGCATACTTTTATAGCCAAGTTAATCCTCATTAAGACAACCCTCGTCTTTCAGCATTTAATTTGATATTTTGTAGGTTATAAAATAATAATTTGCTGACAAATCTCATTTATGAAGCATGGAGTTTAGTTATCATAGTTGAAGCCGTACCTTTGAGTGAGTTCCTCTTAAGTCAAGTGTTGAACGTCTTGATTACTGGTCTCTGAATTCTGTGTGTATCAGAGAGGTTTTTGAAACCAAAAGTATGTTAGTTTAGCCTCAAACTCTCAAAGAAAGAAATTCTACCGTAATTAGAATGAGGTCCTCCCCACCAAGTGAGAGCTGGGAAGGTTGTTGTAATAGGGACCTTAGTACATGACATTCCAGTGTACTCAGTGCTGTGTTTATGTCACTTCTGTCTCCTGTTTTTCAGATTCACCATTTTTCAGAGGCATTTTTTATTAAGGAGCATTCATGGGAAGAACTTCAGAACTCAGCAGATCAATTGTATGTGCTTGTCTTGTTAATTTTGCATGTTTTATGAAGTCTTTGCCTTCTATAGTGTCTATGATAAATGATAATCATGCACAATATGACCCACTTCTGAAAAGCCGAAAAACATTCTCAGACTGATTACTGTATTGTAGCACATTGTTTACCAAATCATTCTCTGAAGTAAAGAAGAGTACTATACCGTTAAAGGAAATCTTAATAATCTTTTCTCCCTAGTGCCCAGCCTAACATATATTGGGTGTTTATTTATAGGTATACCAAATGGGGTGAGGGGAGTGGGTTGCTCTGCCTCCACCTTTCCTATGCTTGAAGCAGTTTGCTCCCTCTGTTTTATCCCCATCTTACATTTGTCGTACATGAAAAGCTTCTTGATAAGTTTGTTCCAGTTTTATGTCAGCCAATTTTTTCATCATGAGACCCGTAAAAAAACATAGCATTCCATAGCCCGCAATAGGCAAAACATCCCAGCAGTTGGGAACAATGCAAGGTGGCTTTACATCCCAGGACTGAAATACTTTTGAGAGTCTTCTTGTGCTCGAAAAAGTTTTTTTGATCAAGTTTAGACTTAAGTTATAGATTTTTAAAATGAACTCTTGATTGGTAGATGGTTCAACATCCAGTTCTAGGCAGCTATACCAAATAGAACACACCATAAGTAAGTAATAGGCAAAATTTTGATGCAAGAGAAGCGGTTGAATCTAGATAAGGGGGACCAGGAGAGAAGATGGTACTGGGAGTAGCTACCCTGAACAGAATTCGTGATCAGTATCCGGGGTGTGTGGCCCGGGAGAATTGGCTCCTGGTGAGGCCCATATCCCCTAGTCGCTAGGCACTAAGGGGAACCAAGAGAGGTGCCCCTGGATGGAGTACATCTCACGTCGGACCGGGGGTACATACCCTGTAGTGAGTATTTTTTTTTTGGACCTTTCTCTAAGCTGTTCCTTTGAGTTTCCAAAATGTTACTGAATGTACTTGATACTGGCAAACAAAATAATAAATGTCTGAGTGTAGATAAACAAAACCTCCATTAATTTGCTGCAGGTTTCAGCAACACCAGAGCTTGGCTCAGAGTGTCAAGGGATCTCGCTACTATCAGTCCATACCTCCAGTGCAGGCAGAATGTCCATTGTTGGATGGCGACTCATCATCTATTCCAATCATATTTGAAGACAAGTTCAGCTTTTCACTTCCTTCAGAACCAGGTATGGTATAAAATCCAGCTAAGCCATTTGACAGTCATGTTTACAAAATATTTGCTTCCTTATATCAATTATTGATATCATTGTAGAAACCAAGTTTTGGTTTATTTCAAGACAGCTGAATACCTTGACTCTTTTACAGTCATAGTCATGTAGTGATATTAACAGGAAGGCAACTTAAATGTCATAGGCATGTTAACAGCATAACTAGATCACTAGGTAATCGGCAACCTCGTTCCCAGGTTCTCTCTCCTAACCGTCGAGAGAATCCCCCTCTCTCTCTTGCTCCACAGGGACAGGTAGGAGAGAAACCTGGGAACCAGGTTGGGTAATCAGAGAAGCAGGTCCAATTATCTGGAGGCTTCAAGTTCTTTGTTAGGTATATGGTATATGAATTAACAATAATTTCGGACATTTGTGCAGCTAGACGCGATGAAAAGAAAGCCCTTAAACTTAGTAATAAAAAGCGTCTTCCATTAGCCGAAGAGCAAATTAACCAAGAATATATAAAAAGAATATTTTATCCCAAGAGGCGACAAGGCAAAATCGTTGCTCATTTTAGGGTACTAATCTTTTAAAAAAGAATCTTAAAGCTCTCCAAACGTTTTGTTTCTATTTTTTGAAATTGAATTGACTTTGGGCCAAGTGCAAGCATCCTGCTTTTACGTTTCGTATTTCCTGTTATGTAACATTAAATATTATTAATTTTGGATGATATCTTCTTTCCCTGTAACCAACAGTACCTCCCAAAAATACAGAGTTGAAGGATATACTCTTTGCATTAGACACAGCGGAAGAGGTAGATGGCAACTCAGAGGAGAGCTACCTTGTCATAGATGAGAATGGTAAGGTAACTTATTTCAAGTGTTTTTCACAATTAACTTCGTCATTCTGTTTGAAAGGCGGTGTCAAGCTATTTTTATCGCCAGTTTCAGCGCATACTAAACAAATAAGGATCTCGAGTCAAGTATCTAAATAACTGCTGAAAAATGGGGAAGAACCACAGGGGTACTCACATCCAGTTAGTTGTTGATGTTAGTCTGCTACACAGCCATTTTTAGTGTCGTCACGCATTAACAACACTAAAAACGGCTGTGTAGCAGACTAATGCGGGGTCTGAAACCAAGAAGTTTTGGGGATCCTGGGAACAGTCGGATATTCTGAACATTTACAGATGATCCGATTGCCTTCTGAGTAAAAGATAAGATGCGAGCGGCTCCGAAGATTTTTTCTGTTCCAGACCTCACTCCAGCTGTATGCAAAAATTCGAAATGACCGCCAAAGAAGACACCCACGTATCAATAAAGTAAGCATGAAAAAAGCTTGGTTCCTGGGGTTTTCAAGGTATCTCTTTTATTGATCACCTATTTGATAACCTTGAGTCTGGAAAAATAAAATATTGTTTTGGAAAAAAGTCTAGAAAAAGTCGTGAATTTTGGTTACAAAAATCTGTATGAACCCTGTTTAGATATTCTCCACACATTTGTTCATACACGTCTTATGGTTCTAATAAGGAGAATCTGTTAAATAATCAAGAACGTCATTGGTTGATCATTTCCTTTATTCTCACAACCTTTATGATTGTTTGAGCAGTGTTACTACAGGGTGAAGTTAGTAGTTGGTCATCTTAGGGGTTACAGGATTATTCAACCTTAGTATATGCTACCCTTGAAAATCTGAAGGTCCCTGTAAATATTCTTGTTCGTTTAGAGGCTGACGAAGCACAAAAGAACGGGTCTGCTTCAGAAGTTACGCTAGAAGAGACCATTCACGAAACTGGAAATGAAAAAGCTTGTGAAAATGAAGCTAACGCGGAGGAAACTGCCCAGGACAAAGAAACAACAGAAAAGTTATCAACAAAAGGAAGCGAAGACAGCTTAGCAGCTCTTGATCAGGTCGATATTGAGCTAAATTTTCAGACAGATGATGACATGTCAACAAACTTATTAGATAATTTACCGCCTGCTGAAGTTAATAATTCTGAAAGCGACTTGTTGTTAACTCAAGACGATGGGAATTTGGCTGATAATGAAACCGAATCTGAGGTTAAGGAAGCAGAATTGGAAAGAACTAGTGAAACAAACCCTACGATTGAAGAATCGCAAGAAAGGAGTTCGGAAACTTTGGAATCGGATTTTGTAGATGCTGCTGCGATAAATGGTATTGAAATGTCGCCTGGTATTGATGTTAACAATGATCATTCTGAAGAAACTAGTCAAGCTGATTTTCCTGAGAAAAAAACTTTCAACGAAGAAGACGAAACCTCAAAACAGGAATCAACAATTGTTTGTAATGATGCTTCACAACATTCCCTTGTTAACAACCCTGAAACTCCAAACGACGAGAATCCGGTAGAAGGCGAATTACAGCGTGTTACGGACAGCTCACAGGACGAATTAATTCCATCTTCCGCTGATGCTGCAGCAGATTCCAGTGACTACGAAACTCCGAAGTCTTCCGAAACTTTACCGAGTACATCTTCGGAGAATCAGTCGGAAGTTGTTGTCACACAACCAACTGTAACCATCAATGGGGTCGAGCCTCGGAATTCAGTGACTGATGGCGCTCCGATTCCCCCGCCGAGAAAAAATAAAAAGAAAGCAGTTTCTAAGGGATTATCTTCCAGTTCATTGGGTGCCTGTTTTCCCATAGCTTGCGCTGGAAACACGTCTCCAACGTTTAATTTATCGCGGGTCGATTCTGTCTACGGTGGGAGTGTGCGCTCCAGGTTAGTTTTGTAGGTTTAATGTACTGTGTACTGTGACTTTTGAAGGAAGACTGAGATCTGTCTGCGGGTTCACCAGCTGATAGGGAACTTACGCACAGGCGTTTAATAGCGATGGATGGCAACCGGAAGCGGGACCATTTTCCTTTTCATTATGCCTTGATGCTATCACCTTTGTATTACGTAGTGTCTTCGTTCTTTTAATGACTGTTTGCTCGACAATTTAGGCAAGCCTTAAAATCCAAAACTTCATCGCTCGTTGCTTAAAAACGCCTTTGCTTATGCTCCCTTAGTCCCTGCGTAGAATTATCGAGAGTCGGGTAGACTTGTCGTAAAGACTTTCTAGTTTTTCATTTTTCTGGCGTTCACTCTTTCCAAAGAGTTAGAACCACCTTACAAGACTCCATCATTTGCTCTGGGAGTGAAAGGGTTTGTGTGACCTCCCATGGGACAGGAAAAAGGGGATCGAAATTAATGTGGTGTTTAGATGTAAAACTGACTAAGTGATTAACACTTGGTCCAAACGAGTGTGATTGATGACCATAGCGATGACGACGACGGCGATGATAGGGAGCTTAAGCAACTAGGACGACGACGACGACGACGACAACTTTATGAAAACAATAGGTTTAATGATGAAAACAACAGCTCTGCGCGTGTATCACGCTTTTTAGTACATTTCTTTGACATCCACTGCACGATTACTACGTGAAACCTCCTAATTTGACGTTTTGTGGAGGACGTGGACATACGACGACGAATTTTCCTTCCTCTTTTTGAACTTGAATAAAATCCTTAAGAATTCAACTCCAGGAAAAGTCGCCTGCATTTGACATATTGAGCGGGTCCAAATAGACGCGATTAAGTTTGAAAGAACGAAAATTCGTATTTTGAGAGACGTTTTCATTGCCGTCGTCGTCGTCGTTGCTTAAGGTCCCTGATGATGACGACGACGACGGTGATGACTATAACGATGATGATGGTGATGTTGATGGATGATTGGAGGAGGGGTGGCATTGGTACCAAACTACAATCGTTACCTCTATAATAGGGACAGTTTTGTAGTGCGGAATAAGTGTTGGTGTCCGCATAAGAATTCAGTTTGCTATGTTTTTTATCTTGTGTTTTTTCTTTTGTGTTACCTGAGTGTTTGTTTATTTGCTTTTGTTGCTTGTTTCTTCTTTAGGTTTGAGATAGCCAAACGATTAGTGAAGAGGAGTTTGAATTATCCGTTTCAACTTTACAGGTGCGAGATTATTTTCTATTGTGCATTAGCCTTCGAGCAAGATCTCCAGTCATGGCGAGCGAAGCGAGCCGCGAGAGAACGCGCGAGCGAGTGACGAAGCCTCGAGGGGCAGAGCGTCTCCTTTCGCGCGCGGCTCTTGCGTGAATTGTCTCGACTCCCCCAAATGAAGAGCTTGCTCGCGGGCTAATTGTGTATTAGTGTGAGCGAGTTAACTCTATTTCGTGTATCAGTGGTTAAAGTAAAAGACTCACTCTCATAGCATTTCAAAGTTCTTTCTTTGAAGATTAACAATATTTTTTGGTCTCTGTTCTGGGTCTTTTCAGCGATCATTTCTTTAAAGGAGACCGTGAGCCATATTTTAGTGCTCAGGCCCCGGACGTACTGCAAACACATCTGATTGTGTGTGTTCATGGTTTGGATGGAAACAGCGGTGATCTTCGTCTGGTTCGCTGTTATTTGGAGATGGGTTTGCCTTCTACAAGACTTGACTTCCTTATGTCGGAGATAAATCAGGTAAACGATATATATATGGTCCTTCTGAATTTCAAAGATGATTTCGGCACGAAATCTTTAAAAGGTTGAAGAGAACGTAGGTCAGGGTTCGAATCCAGGCGAGCGTGACTCATGATTGTTTTCAGGCTTTCTTTTCGCAATTGCATAAGTTGCGTCTTTAACAGGGAGGATCTTCTTTGCATTTATTCCTCTCTATATCCAGTTTCATTGCCATCCCTATGTATTATATACCGTTAAAGTACAACTTGCTTTATAGAGAACGCTTCCTCATTCAGTGCACCAAGTGATTCTTCGATCAAATTAACAATCAGTGAACGGATTCCAATATTCTTGCATTGTTTTGGTGGGTTACCTTTGTTCTTCTCTTTACAGCCGGACACGTTCGTGACATTTGAAGAGATGACCGATAAATTGGTGCGAGAAATCACACATCACATTGAAGCTTACAATCTGATTCCAACAAAAATAAGGTTTGATTTTCCTCTCTTTCAACACTAAACTTGATTTAGTTGCCTGAAAAAAAAAAAACGTTTTGTTTTGTCTCCTCAGCTTTGTGGGTCATTCTCTTGGGAACATTATCATCAGGTCTGCTCTTAACCACCCTGAACTGCGACCCTTCCTGGATAAGGTCCACACATTCCTGTCCCTGTCAGGACCTCATTTGGGAATGTTGTACCCAACAAGCTCTCTTGTGAGCACAGGTAAGAATAATTACTTGTGGTGTTTACATTGCACTGAAGATTGTAGATCTAGTTATTACACAGCTTTACTTTTTTCCAGTAGTACGTGCTCTCGTTAGCTACATTGAGGTCACGTGGCATGACCTGTTTCCCTCAAGTTTCCCTCGGGACTTGTCATCACAAATTTTCCTTATAGCGTAGTTTCTCTTTAAGGTTTGTGGTTTATGCAGAAGTGGAAGAAGTCGGATTCATTGGCGCAGTTGTCGTTACACGATCACCCCGACCCTCGCCAGACCTTTATTTACCGGCTTAGCCAATCAGAAGGTTAGTAAAATTATCACGGAGTCTCATTTCTATGTTCGTTTACTCGGTAATGAATGGAACTAGCGTACAATCGAGGCTCATGCAGGGACTCATCTTACACTCAAATAATAGTATAGACGTCAAATGACGTCTGTTATCTTTGCCTCGAATGCACGCTAGTTCTAGTTCACCGCAGTTTAGGCCTGTGGAGTGATCACTTACTCTTGAGGTCACCTCACTTAGGAGGTAGCCTGCATGCGAGCAAGCTGTCTGCGTAGCAAGTCTTTTGATACAAGTTTAGGTTTAAATTAAGGCATGAGTGTGAGCCATGGATCTTGCCTTGTTTAAAAAACAGCACTATCGTTGATAAGTAGATATTAAATAAGTAATTGAATAAGTGACTACAAAGAAAAAATACATACAAACAAAGAAAAAATCTGATTGCTGGACGAGAGGATGGCTTCCCAGATAACGGTAGAGCGTTCCGGTCTCTGATATGCTTTTATGAAATATTTATTTTGTAAGTTTTCATAGGGAAAAGACTTTGTACTGTGACATCTAAGCGAAATATTTTCTTATAGGACTGCAGCACTTCAAAAATATCCTCCTTGTAAGCTCTGTTCAAGATCATTATGTTCCTTACCACTCAGCCAGAATAGAAACTTGCCGAGCGGCAACCAGAGATAACTCAGATATTGGTGAGTACTGAAATGTTTTTACTCTTTAGTTATTAAGTTATTCAAATCAATAAAATTATAATACTGCTTGATTATCCCCTTACTAGCGCACGAGGACACACGATATCTTAACGGTGTGGCTGTTTACCGCCAAAAGTCTCTGGGGGGCGGGGGGAGGGTAACATTGCAAGATCTTTGACGTCACAGGAAGGTAGTCTGTTACCCGCAAATATTGCCCGATTTTTTCTGTTTTGTACTCTGCTCCATCTCGCCGTGAAAGTTGGAGATTCTCGGGAAGCAAAAATGACAGTTTCTTTTTTAAAACGCAAGCGAGAAGCTTTGTTCTTATACTGACGGATTTGATAGTAAACTGCTATGTTTTTAATCGGTGTTCTGCCAGAACAAGAAACGCACAAATTCAGGCTTCCAAGTTGTTCTTCTTTTAAATTGGAAAGAAGCAAAAGTGGAGTGCCGGGGTTGTGCAAGTTAGCCCGCCAAGATACACAGTATAGTAGCGTTTAGCCTGCCTAGCATTTTTTCCACGCAAGATCGATGCGAAAGTTGGAATGAGAACGAGAAAAGAGAAGGAAGAGGGGAAGGGAAGGGAAGGGGGTAAGGTTGCCTTATCCCCGACCCTCCCCGCTTCCTCTCTTTTGTCACTCTCATTCCAACTTTCGCATCGAGCTCGCGTGAAAACGCGCTGCTTATGACGCAAGCTGTTACATTCTTGATTAACTTGATTGCTTATACCGTGTCATTTATCGTTTCCGCCCAGGATCTGCATACAGAGAAATGATCGACAATCTTCTAAAACCGCTGGAGGAGAGAAAAGATATGAACTTTATTCGATACAGTGTTTACCACAATCTACCAAGTTCGGCGAATTCGTTCATTGGAAGAGCTGCCCACATAGCCATGTTAGATTCCGAACTTTTTATTGAGAAGTTGTTACTAGTGTCTGCGTTAGATTACTTTAGATAGGTTTGGTGTGGTGCTAGTGAACGGAGCCTTCAAAAACTCTTTTATCTCGTTTTGTATTAACTACAGACACCTCCCTAAAACGGACACCTAGAGTTGGTCCTTGCTGTTCTTCAATCATTTACTTTGACTCTCGACAAGGCGGTCACCTCTCTAAAATGGCCACCTAGAGGTGGCCCCTGTTCTTCAGTCATTTTATTTAACTCTTTGTAAGGCGGACACCACCCTAAAACGGCACTTATGTCCAGGTTTGCACGCAGCTGCAATGTTTGTGATTTTTCGTCTGCTTACAAAAAATCGCAAAAATTACAAGGTTGGCGATTGGATTCTTAGAGGTGGCCCCTGCTGTGCTTCATTCATTTTCTTCTACTTTCTATAAGGCAGACACCACCCTTAAAAACGGACATCTAAAGTTGGCCCCTGCCTTTCTTTACTTCTTTTCAGTGACTTCCTCTAAGGGCTTGTTTACGTGGAGGTGGGGACCTCAGGTAGGTTAGGTAGCCCGCGGCGGGTCACCCCACTTATGATGTAAACGTGATCAAATTAAAATGAGACATAATATGGACAGGCGGGTTACTCCACCTAAGCGGGTTACCTCACTTACCGGGGGTCCCCCCACCTCCATGCGGATCAATTTAGGTTTCTGGGAAACTGCCCACCTACCCCTCCCCTAAGCTAACATTAAGACTTAATTCTCACCAAGGGCAAATTGTTGGCTTAGGGGAGGGGTAGGTGGGCAGTTTCTCAGACGGACATTCCTCTAAGATAGTCACATTGTGTGCCGTGTCCTTCTTACTGTACCCCAAAGTAACACACTATTTTGGCTTCTAATTAAAATATATTCTCGGCCCGGCCAATGAGCTCCTTTACTCGGCTGTCGAGGTGCACTTTCGAGTGGTGCTGTTTATTTTTGTATGGTTCAAACGTCGTCGAGTTAGCCTGTGTACAGACGCCCCCCTACCCTCAGAAAAAATCGAGGTTAGGGGAGGGGGCGTCTTTACGCAGGCTACGTCGAGTCGGTACGAAAAAGAACCTTAAGTATGTCTGATCAAATAAGATTTCTATTTTATAGCGATTTAAATTAACGTTCATTTTTGTTCTCATTTTTCTCCATTTGAACATTTTTCAAGGTTTAGGTTTTGTACTTCGTCTCAGAGTCGCCTTTAGTTATTGAAGTGACGCTACGCAATTAGGAAAGGAAGTAATTTCCTAAGTATTATCATAACATAATATTTATAAGAAATGTAATATTCAGTGAAATAGTTCTTTTTTCCATGGGATAAATATAATAGTTTTTTAAACGTCTGCTGTCAATTGGGAAATTTGTGGAAATGGTGGCAGACACCAGGTTGTAATTCGCTAATTTTAAACATTAGAATTTGAATATCTGTTGTTGGACTACCCATTTCAGTGATAACAGTAACGATATGCGATGCAGACAGAGGTTAATTAGGTAAATGAATGCGCCTTTGGTTCAAAAATCAACGACTTGCTTTTGTTTGTGCAACTTCCCTCAGGAATAGTTGCGTGAGCGATATATGCGAGCGTGCGTGAAAATTCACCGCGCGCGAGGAGAGACGAGACGCGGAGCAAGAAGGAAGTAGCCCACGTTCGATATATAAACAATTCTAACGTGACTCCGAGGTTTTCTGGTCATTGTTCTGGTCATTTGGTTTGGTTTTGCTTTGTGCTCAAGTCCCCTCTGGAAATTGCTAGACAACGGAGTCGTGAAAAATTTGCAATTTTGAGCCTAAAGCCTCCTTGTCATTTTAGAATTTCTTAAAATATATCGAACGTGGGGTAATGACTTTCCTCGCGGGTGGCTTTTTTCACGCTCCTTCGTGTCTTTGCTCTTTCGGCTAAACTCGTGGTCTTCAGTAGTTTCGCTGTTGCAATATCTTTATGTTTTTAGGTTCTGGTTGTGCTTAGTGTTTCGTAAAGCATCCAATTGGCTAGGGAACTAGCAGCGTGACAATTTCATTATGCCTGAAGAAAGCTTGTGCATTCTGACTCTTGATTAGAGGAAAAAAGTCTTGATTAACTTCCTTTCCAGCTGTATTTTCATGCAGTAGTTTTCCATGTAGCTAGTAAAGTATAACAGAGTAGTTCATTAAGTAGCAATGGCTATGTTCTCTCTGTCTTCCTTTTTGTAATAGAACTATCAAAATTTGTACTTACTTCAATAGAAACTGGTTAACCCTTTAATTCCCAATATCCACATACAAATTCTCCAAACTGGTCTCTATACATTTCCTTAAAGAATGAGTTGAGAGAATTTGGTAGAAGATCAAGGCTTTTTTCTCTTACGTGATCATTTTATTAACTCTCATAACCATTTCTCTTTGTAACATATGGATATTGTTAGGAGAAAATTGATGTTGGTCACTATTGGAACTTAAAGGGTGAATGAGCACATGCAACCAAATTCAGGGTAGGTGTAAATGAAGCATTTGAACGGTTAGGGTTCCATATTTTGTCAGTTTTTTTATGACGTTACTTTATATATAAATTTATATATAAATAAATGTAATGCAGTTATTTAATAATAATATGTAATCGTTGTTACTATCAGGGTATCGAAAGCTGTAATTTAAGGATAATGTCAATAATTTAGTAGGAAATTTTGTTTGTGTGCGGTATTGTTTTTAAGATATTGCTGGTGGGAATTTGGTGTGAATTATGACTCTTGGCATTATTTTGTTGTAGCAGCAGAAGTTAAGGTCTTGCAGGATAATGATGCGAAGCAATAAAAAATGTTAAAAATCAAAAATTTGTATTGTTTTTCCTGAACAAAAAGTTCCCTTAATTAAACAAAGGAACGTAATGACCCGTTCAAAAAACAAACGAACATAAGGGTTTCAGAAGTGGGTGAAATGTGATCGTCCCGGTGAATATAGGCCTGATAGTCATTGTCAACAACAGTCCTATCGGGGACTACACTCAGCGGGACGATCATTTTTTTCGAGGCCTACTTTTAACATGTCTACTGAGTTTGAAGTTTCAGTCATAGTCAGACCGTTTTCCTTGCGTGGCAGGATCAAGTGTGTGTGTGTGTGGGGGGGGGTGGGGGAAGAGGGAAGGAGATAAAGGCAAATGGGAGATTACCTCACAGGTACCCGATACTGACGTCTTGTGGACAGCTAGCACAGCGCGCGAAGTCTGATGTGTAGTGTTCGTGCTCGTTTGGTAAATGAGTATCAGACGTCCCACGTTTCGTGTGGTATAAACACCGTTGATACCTAAATGCCTCTGCAGAGAAAACCCTCAGGGGTACTCCCAGTATAAAAGGGTAAGGGGTTGAACCTCGGGACGGAGCATCCCCGTGACAAACTTTGTTAAGTACCCCCCACGGAACACCCGGTTGTAGATGTCCTATTACATCAATTTAAAGCCAAGAAATATTGACTTCAGTGTTCTTTATTTACTGTCACACAAACAGAAACTAAAAAAACTGTGAACTTCCTAAAAATTTCAGGAATGTTGATTGTGTGAAGAGTCACGGCAGCAGGAGACGCGAACACATCCAACAGCAAACTACAACGTTGTTGCCTGCGCTTCGGTTTAGTTTTTTCACACCATATTGTCTTCCTTGCAGCCTCTCTTGTGCTTCCAACACACTAATAACATTCCACCAAAATGATTACAGACGCTTCTTTTGTTGCGTTCCATGCACGGGAAACCAGGTATTATGAGTTCACGGTTCCTTATTTTATCCCATAATTCAGACTGAAGTCAGAAGAGTGATTTAGAAATAAAGTTACGGTATTATACGGTCATCTTTTTTAAAGCCACAAGGAATTCTTCGGTTCAAAGAACCGAACAAAAGTGTGCAGGATCCATCCTCTAGGTTCAAACCGACCGCTTCTGAAAAAAAGTTGTGTAGTTAGTGCAAAAAGTTACAAGGCCAACATGCTAATATGATACAATCGTCTTCAAACTAGGCTCAAAAAACCTAAAATCGATCATCCAATAAACTTATCGGCGAGTTCTTTGAAAGTGGCTTTAAGCACAATATAAAAAGTAAAAGTCTCGTAAAAGTGAACTGCTGCAGTGTTTTTAAAACACTGCAACCTTCCATTATCCTAATAAATGTCTACGACGTCTAGGACTTCTCGACCATTTATTCAAGTATCAAAAACTAACCTGAACCATAACGTGCTTGAACTGATATATATAGGGTGCGACTTCACAGCTATAAAGCCATTTGTGATTTGCCCGCGTTGTTTTGCATTGTAATCTTGACTTGAGTGTGTAAAATTGAGCCCCTCAGGGGGTGTTCGCAATTCAATAACGTATTAAAAAACTTCATTTTTTCAATTCTGTAATGGGCAATAGTGTTTCCTTATGGACATTAAGTTTCAAACTACTGTCGACCCCTAACTTCGGAGACCATTTGCTGCTGATGATACTCTACGAAAGACAGATTCGATATGGACAAAAATGGATTATAAAATTGCATAAATTAGCGCGGGGTGACGCTACCCGCATTGTCTTTACCCTAAATTCCAAAATTACTGCCTTGAGCTCGCTATGGAAAAAAAAAGACGAAAGATAAACGTTCTACATTCTTTTTGCTCCGTTTGAGAGTAAACACGACAGTTATTAGCGAGAGTCAGACTTCGATAATCTGTTCTCAAAACAATTTAAAACAAAAAAAAATGCTCTAGCGCGGAGTCACGTGCTTAAACTGTTTTCATTTCATGTGTAGGTCTTAAATAAGACTCGTAATTGCGAGGTCTGTGTTTTCGAGGTCATCGGTCCGTAATTAGCAAAACTCACTGACGTAATTATTCATATATTCATATATTTTATACATTTTTACATTTTTTTACAGCAGCTATGTTATCTGTTACGTATAATTTCAATCTTTACATGGGCAGCATGAGAATGTTCTAAGTTAAAAGTTGTTAGGACCTCAAGTAGAAGCAAATTAATGCTGCCTCATCGGCGAGTTCTTTGAAAGTGGCTTTAAGAAAAATATAAAAAGTAAAGTCTCGTAAAAGTGAACTGCTGCAGTGTTTTTAAAACACTGTAACCTTCCATTATCCTAATAAATGTCTAGGACGTCTAGGACTTCTCGACCATTTATTCAAGTATCAAAAACTAACCTGAACCATAACGTGCTTGAACTGATATATATAGGGTGCGACTTCACAGCTATAAAGCCATTTGTGATTTGCCCGCGTTGTTTTGCATTGTAATCTTGACTTGAGTGTGTAAAATTGAGCCCCTCAGGGGGTGTTCGCAATTCAATAACGTATTAAAAAACTTCAATTTTTCAATTCTGTAATGGGCAATACTGTTTCCTTATGGACATTAAGTTTCAAACTACTGTCGACCCCTAACTTCGGAGACCATTTGCTGCTGATGATACTCTACGAAAGACAGATTCGATATGGACAAAAATGGATTATAAAATTGCATAAATTAGCGCGGGGTGACGTTACGCGCATTGTCTTTACCCTAAATTCCAAATTTACTGACTTGAGCTCGCTATGGAAAAAAAAAGACGAAAGATAAACGTTCTACATTCTTTTTGCTCCGTTTGAGAGTAAACACGACAGTTATTAGCGAGAGTCAGACTTCGATAATCTGTTCTCAAAACAATTTAAAACAAAAAAAAATG